CCTGTATTAGATGAAGAACGCACCCTCCCCTGCTTTCCTCCGCCCCATCGTAGCTTTCTCAGCCTTCGCCGCCCTCGCCGTCCTTTTCTGCCTTCCGTTACTCTCGCATGCCCTGGGATCCGGCTCCACCCTCGCCGTCATCTCCGGCTCCCCCACCGCCTGCGGCATCGTCTCTTACCAGGCCACTCAGAGCATCGTTTGTTTCAGACCACCAGGAGCCGGCGGCGGGGGAGGAGGAGGGTATCTGCAACCACCACCATCACCAATCGTAACGCTTCAACCCAACATCTCCTTCTCTTCGATCTCCGGTGGGCAGGATTTTTTCTGCGGGGTCCGTTCCGGCGGCTACGCTCTGCTCTGCTGGGATACATTCTCGCCGGATAACAATTCCGCCATTCCCAACCAAGTCAAGCGAATCTATTTTAACACCTCGGTTCTGTTACAGAGCGTGTCCGTTGGTGGTGATCGGGTTTGCTCGACCACGGCGGCGGCCGGTGGGGATTCGGATTTGGATTCGAATTCAGGAACGGTGAGATGTTGGAGAGGGGATGAGAGTTCTAGATCACAATTGCCTCCTAGTGGGGAGAGATTCAGTGAAATTTCATCTGGGTATGGGTTTTCTTGCGGGATTTCGGTTAACGGGAGCAGAATTCGGTGCTGGGGAAGCCAGCCGATCGCGCAGAGAATCGAATCGGGATTCGGGAGTATGTCGATGTTGAGTGTTCAAGCCGGAGGGTCTCACGTATGCGGAGTGAATTCAACTGGGTTTGTAGTTTGCAGGGGAGACAATTCCTCCGGACAGCTCAACGCTCCCCTGAATTCTCCGCCTCTGGAGTATTCACAGTTGGCGCTGGGAGCCAATTACAGCTGCGCTCTTCGTCGGAGCAATGGGTCGGTGGTTTGTTGGGGTGGAGACGGAGGGCTGGGGGTCAACGGGATCGAAGGAATCTTCTTCGAGTCCATCGTCTCTGGCTCGAATTTTCTCTGCGGCATTTTGTCGAACAACTTGTCGACAATTTGTTGGGGACCCGGATGGCCCAGTGCAGGGTCGAATTCGAATTCACAGCTCTTCCAAGTACTTCCATTGCCTCCGATTCTGCCAGGTCCTTGCGTCGAATCATCTTCCTGCGGTGAATGCGGCGTGTATGGAGATTCTCAGAACTGGTGCGGCGGTTCAGGGGTAATCTGCAGGCCGTGTGGGTTCAACGTTTCGACAGTAGCATCGCCTCCGCGGGAGGCGCCGTCGCCGCCATTCCCTCCATCGCAGTCGCCAATTTCACCACCACCGCCATCATCATCAACAACAAGTTTGAGAAAGGGGTTGTTGTCGTTCGCCATTGTCGGTTCACTCGGAGCTTTTGCAGGCATATGCACAGTCTTTTACTGCCTGTGGACGGGAGCTTGCCTGGGCAGGAAAAAAGTCCACAACTCCGTGCAACCCACAATCACCAGAGCAGGCTCAAACAACGGCGGAGGTTCGAACAATTCAAACAACAGCGGCGGCGGAATCACCACCATCACCTCCAGATCCTCGACCATCCGGCGGCAGAGCTCGAAAGCAATGAGGCGCCAGAGGAGCGGGACCTCATCCAAGCACGCCGAGCCCCGAGCCGAAGAATTCACCCTCTCCGAGCTCGCAGCAGCCACCGACGGGTTCGCAGCGGAGAACAAGATCGGCGCCGGAAGCTACGGCATCGTCTACAGAGGCAAGCTCGCCGACGGCAGGGAAGTTGCGATTAAAAGAGGGGAAACGAGCAAGAAGGCGAAGAAGTACCAGGAGAAAGAGAGCGCGTTCGAATCGGAGCTCTCCTTCCTCTCTCGCCTCCACCACAAGCATTTGGTAAGGCTCGTCGGGTACTGCGACGACGGAGGCGATGAAAAGCTTCTGGTGTACGAGTACATGAAAAACGGAGCTCTCTACGATCATCTCCACGACCGGAACAACGTCGAGAATTCGAGCAGTTTGATCAATTCGTGGAAGATTAGGATCAGAATCGCGCTGGACGCGGCCAGAGGGATCGAGTATCTGCACAATTACGCGGTCCCTCCGATCATCCACCGGGACATCAAATCGTCGAATATTCTCCTAGACGGGAATTGGGTGGCCCGGGTGTCGGATTTCGGGTTGTCGCTGCTGGGACCCGACCCGGAGAGGGAGTACCGGCCGACGAAGGCGGCCGGCACGGTGGGGTACATTGATCCGGAGTACTACAGCTTGAATGTGCTGACGGCGAAGAGCGACGTGTACGGATTGGGGGTGGTGTTGCTGGAGTTGTTGACAGGGAAGAGGGCGATTTTTAAGGGGGATGACGGGGAAGGGACGCCGACGAGCATAGTGGAGTACGCGGTGGCGAGGATCGCCGGCGGGGAGCTGTGGGGGATACTGGATCGGCGGGTGGGGCAGCCGGATGTGAATGAGTCGGAGGCGGTGGAGCTGGTGGGATACACGGCGATGCACTGCGTGCGGCCGGAAGGGAAGGACCGGCCGACAATGGCGGACATTGTTGTGAATTTGGAGAGGGCGTTGGTGCTTTGTGAGGGCAGCCATGGGAGCATCTCCAGCGGGACAATCTCCATTGTTTCCGAGTGAATAGTGGTGCAAATTTTTTTTTTTTAATTTGGGGGTTGATTTGATGATTTTGTGAAGATGGGGGATTAGTTGAGATAGATGATAAGAGTTTGGGGGGTTGAATTTCCATGGTTCGTTGAGATTCTTCGGATAACCCAGATTGATTGATTGTTGAATTCATCAAATTCATATATTTTTTGGGTGGGGCTGACCCGACCCGGCTCCTTTTGTTTGTGGTTTTCTTTCTGTAAAGAAAATTAGGCAGATAGATTGTTTTTAATTTTTAGGCTTTATTTTATTTTAGTTTTGATTGATTGTTCTTTCTTTGGAGTAGGCCATTTGCAAGGATTAGTGGGAGATTTTCTTTCTTCTTCTTGTTAGGGGGGAAATGAAGAAAATACATATATAAAAATAGGGGAAGAAAAGGAGAGCTTCCAATCCATTCCAAATACTGCTTTTCAAACTTTTATTCTATTGGTTTTCCCTTGATTGTTCATTGTTCATAATAATCACTCATTATTTTGAAAATAATTATCACTATTGAATTTGAATGGGAAGATTCATTATAATCAGTTGAACGGTTTGCCAAGTAATATGTAATGCAAGTTTATTTCTAATCGATTTACAAATAATGAAAAACAATGTCATTCAAATGGACACAAACGTCCCTTAATCATTAAGTTATTTTTTTATGTCTCGAAACATGGTGATCTACCATTGAGAATGTTCCAAATCATATAATGATTCAGTGAGATATAGTGAACAATTTTATTTTCTTCTCTCCATGTTTGTTGGTCATATTTTCTCTAGCAATAGTAATTATGGAACCAAATGATTGTGTCATCTTTGAGGGGGAAAAAAGTAGAGGACCAAAAGAGAATTTGTTGCAAAATTTTCCATGTCAACATTGGCCTTCCAATTCCAAGTCATTTGTATCAAAACTGTGAACAGGCAAGGAAAAGAAACCATGAATAAAACCACCAGTCATTAATATAATTGCATTTTTAATAGCGCATTTGAAAATGACACCCAAACTCCCAAAATATTTTTTTTTAAAAGCAATTAAACAATACAAAATTTTCATGTTGAGAGTCAGAATCGCGAAAACACAAAAATAAAAAAATTTCTAGAAATTATAAGTAGAGACAGAATGTCTACATTCTTTGAAATCGCGAGATTCAAACGATTATTCTTTCAAACTCAATAGTAGGTTACCAAGGGTTCCCTTTTGTTCCATGCAAGGGGAGACTTTTCAGCTCCCCGGAAATAGATGGAGATACCCAGCAAGAAAGAAAGAAGGCAAATGGTCCTGTTATTTTGTGGGGGCACATAAATAATTATGTTTTAATAAGTTCACACACGTTTAAGGGCTAAATTCTTTGCTCTTTTGACTTGCTCCGAAGTTGTTGTCGCTATTTCGTTTTGGGTTTCTTTATAATTAATGGAAAACCATGCGGTGCCTCCACATTTATATCAATCGCACCGTGGCTGCCAAACGGAATTTGATCATTTTAATATGGGTTAATACCTTGTTATGGCCTGAACTATGACCAAATAATCAACTTTGGCCAATGGTTTGAGAAATTAACATCCTGGCCCGATCTATGCAGCATGTTGACAAAATTGGCCTGGAGCCTGGTTTGACCGTTTGTTTGGACGGTCAACACCGTTGACCGTTAGTCAACTGTCCAGGTCATTGCCATGTCAACATAAAAAAATCATTTTTTTTATTTCATTTACCGTCAATTGATTAATTAAAAAAAAAAAAAACAAAATCCGAAAAATTTGGCCCACCCGTCCCCACCTTATCCCCTCACTTCTTTCCTTTTCGATCAAACCCTATTCCTTTTCCATCTTCTTCCTCCTTCTTCCCCGACGAGACGCCGCCTCCAATCCCCCTCGCCTTCAAATGCAGCGGCGGCCGGTCGTTTAAAGACGACGCCGCCGCCGTCGCACTCTTGCAACATATCCCAAACACGACACCCATCCCCCTCGCCTTCTTTCGTTACTGATCCCTTCCCCAAAAAAACCCTAACGACCCTTCTTCTTCCTCCTTCTTCCCCGACAACCCGCCGCCTCCATTCTCTCCGTTTCAAATGCAGCGGCGGCCGGTCGTTTAAAGACGCCGCCGCCGCCGCACTCTTTCATCGCCTTCTTTCGTTATCGATCTGCTCCCCAAAAAAAAAACCCTAACCACCCTTCTTCTTCCTCCTTCTTCCCCGACAACCCTCACCCGTTCCTCGCACGATCTGTCCAAGCCTTCCCCACCCAAGACCAAACCTTCCCCTGCCTTCCCCTGCCTTCCCCACCCATTTCGCTCTGTCCATTAAACAACAATAGTTGATTTGTCTTTGTCGGCTTAGTGAATTTATCGATTTGTCTTTGTCGGCTTAGTGAAGTTTGCTTAGAAAAGTGTGCTTTCGATTTGTTTATGTGCAGAATGGAAGACCCGATTGAGCTCATTTTATGTCATGGAGGATATATGGATATGACAGGGGCTGTTCCAAAGTATGTTGGAGGTGATGAAGCTGTGGTGAACATGGTTGTCGATGTATTGTCCTATTTCGAGCTAACAAAGACTCTAATTGAAGATTTAGAGTATGTCTCCGTGGAAAGGCTTTGGTACTTGACTCCGGGTAAAAGTATGGCCACTGGATTGCACGAAATTCATTCAGACGCGGAGGTTATGAATGGATTACTCCCATGTGTAGCTAAAGGACAGGTGAGGGTCTACTTTGAAGCAACAAAAGACTTGGTTGATGATGGATTTATGGGTGACAACTACGGCCATGAGCATGATGGTTCTGATGAGGATGGTGAAAACTCGGCTGTACCTGAGTTTGTTCGAGTAGGGGAAGAAGATGATGCCCAAACATCTGATGAAGAGTACCATGAAATCAGGCAGAAGGTTCGGAACAGGAGACAGAAATATAGAGCTCAGATTCAGGATTCTGGTGAGGAGGTTGATCAAGTGGTATTGGAGGAGGATGAGGGCAGTGAGGGCAGTGAGGGCAGTGAGAATGGAGGGCAGAATGAGCCTGGAAGTGAAGAGCAGAATGTGGGCAGTGGGAATGGAGGGCAGAATGTGGGGGATCAAGCTGGTGAAGATGATGCAAATAGTGGGGGATCAATGGAAACAGAGTATAGGGGATCAGAGTACTCTGCTCACGTTAGAGGCAACATTGGTGAACAAGATAATGTCACCAAGTTTGACAAATCCTTGCTTTATGATCCTAAGTGCGATCATAAAGCATTGAAGTTTGTTCCTTGTATGCGCTTTAAATCCCCTGAGCAGTTTAAGGCAGCTGTAATGAGGCAATCCATTGTGATTGGTGCTGATATCAGATGGGTAAGGAGCAGTGACTTTAGGAAGGAAGCTGTGTGTGCGCAAAGGGCAGAATTCAAATGTGGCTGGAGGGTATATGCAAGTTGGTTTCGTAAGAACGAAACATTTATGGTTAAAGGAGTTGGAACAGCTCACAGTTGCCCTCGTTCACTTCACATTCGGGCAGCAGGTCAGAGGTGGATAGCAGAAGAATTTATCGAGACATTTAGGGCAAATCAGGGTTGGGATGTAGGCCTAATAGCTGCTGAAATTAAGCGGAAGTACAATTTGGTTGTGACAAACCAAACCTGCTGAATGTGCTGAATGTGTATGAAATTGTAGGCACCCCATGTTGGTTCGAGTAGTAAAAGGGTAACTGATCATGAAATGAGAAGGGCGATGCAAGGTATTGGAACCTACATTGACATGGACACTGGAAACATGTATGCAAGGGTATGTAACAGAGTTTTAATGCTTATTGACAAAGTAGTGTTTGATGTTACGGCTATTCCTAATATCCAGATCCTACTATTTTGCAGCTTAGTCACAGAGTGCCACCACCTGGTGGTGTACGAGCAACAGAACCAGACCAAGCTCCTGTCAATACCACACAGCCTCCCACTACTCAACCAGAGTCGCCTTAGGAAGTCAGAAGATGCTATGTTAGGAATTAGATAAGACTCCTATTTTGTGCGTGCTATGTGCATGTTACGGATCATTGTGATTCGTTGGAGTGTAGGTGTAGGTAGAAATATGTAAAGTAGGTCCAAAGTTAGGTAGTGCCCCTTTTGTAAATGGTCTAGAACTGAACCATGTCCTAAACTTAGGCACTACCTTGTCCTAAACTAAGGTAGTGCCCCTTTTGTAAATGGTCTAGAAATGAACCATGTCCTAAACTTATGAATGAATGAAGTTGTATGTGTTTGTCCCAATTGTGCTTCAATGAAAGAACATGGTAAGAGGAAGCAAATAAGGTAACATAATGGATCAGTTCATTGATTTCATAGGAAATTACACAAATTAGACAACAAGCTTACAATTGGACAATCACCAAAACAAAAAGAAAGATAACTACAACGATTACACAAGCGGTTAGCCGATTTTGTAGCGCACAAATCGCATTTCGCATACTTTGCAATTCAACGAAACAAGCTGAATTGATCTCGGTCACCTTCGTCAAGTCTTCAAGCAGTGCCAACTTGTCCTGTTTCCTCTTCTTCGCCTTCTCTTTTTCCCTACAAAGTTGTCCTTCAAAGGCCTCCAATGCCGACTTTAGCTGCTCATTCTCTTCCATAAGTCCACCAAGCATAAAGTCACTCTCTGTGACTGCATCAACCCAGCGAAAAAACCTGCAGTTCTTCTCTTCATCCTTCCAATACGGGCAAGAATAAAACAATCTCCCAGGATTGTCGTCTGTTCGAGAAGTGTTGACAACGCAAGGGGCTCGGTGGAAGTTGCATCTTATGGGCTTCATGGTTGACGAACCAGAAGAGGATGAAGCTTTGGTGGCAATTTTCCCAACTCGCCTGGACATTATTGCACAGAGGGGTATGAAGAGAGCTCGAGATGGGTCTGGTAGAAAGGAAGAAGAGATCGCGAAAGGGGTCTCGGGCCGTTTTTGGATAGAAAGGAAGAAAGAAGGGAGCTCGATTTCGTTTGGGATGTGGAGGCGGTGGGTCGTCGGGGAGAAGGGATTTGTTTCGGATATGGAGGCGGCGGGTCGTCGGGGAGAAGGGATTTGTTTTCGTCGGAGGGAAAGGAGGCGGCGTCTCGTCGGGGAAGAAGGAGGAAGAAGATGGAAAAGGAATAGGGTTTGATCGAAAAGGAAAGAAGTGAGGGGATAAGGTGGGGATGGGTGGGCCAAATTTTTCGGATTTTTTTTTTTTTTTTAATTAATCAATTTTTTGTAAATGAAATAAAAAAAAATGATTTTTTTATGTTGACATGGCAGTGACCTGGACAGTTGACTAACGGTCAACGGTGTTGACCGTCCAAACAAACGGTCAAACCAGGCTCCAGGCCAATTTTGTCAACATGCTGCATAGATCGGGCCAGGATGTTAATTTCTCAAACCATTGGCCAAAGTTGATTACTTGGTCATAGTTCAGGCCATAACAAGGTATTAACCCTTTTAATATTTTCTCAACCAGCTGATAGTTGTTTTCTTGAGCTTGTGACCAGAGATTATTTTTAAAAAAATTAATTGTGGGAGGTGGTGGTGAGAAGTCAGAGACGGTGGCCGGTGAACCACTTCCCATGACCCACCACCTTCCACCGTCACCGTCGTCGTCTTGCTCCTCCGGCGGCCCCCACCACCGTTGCTCCTTTTTTTTTGGGCGGGGGGGACATTTATGTAGCTGTTTGGTTAAATGTGTGTCCAAATTTATTGGGCGGAAGACTGAAGATACAAGAGTGAAAAGCGCAACATCTACAGTTAGGATTTAGGAATGAGTCAATTCAGTATTCATTCATATCCAAAACTGGTAAAAGAAGTTGAATAGAACAAAATGAAGGAGAAGGAAATGGAAAATATATGCAAAAAGTAGTGTGTAAGGATCTTTTGTGATAAGATCTAGCTAGCTAGATTCCATTTCTCATACAATTAAATGCTTGCTTGCTTGCTGTACTTCTGATCCAACGACTGTTAGTTAGGAGGAAGGGAACGACTATGAAACTACAACTAGAGGAGATTGCTAAAACTATTTATTTTCTGACAAAATAAAAAAATTGTTAACGATTTGACTGATTTGTTACCGAATATTACTGTTATTGATTAATCCTACGTGTTAGTTAGTTTATCTTATTCGTTCAGATGTATGTATCTTCTTTGAAAATGTTTTGTATTTTTGGTGTATTGGTAGTCCAATAATGAAATCTATTGGCACTAGTAACAAGACGAGTAACTTAATGGTAACCACATAAGACTTTTTTGTGAGGATTCGAGCTCCGGAACTTTAAGAAGCAAGAAATTGTTAAAGAAGGGACGAGTTCAGTGACTACGTCTTATTATTCTGGACAACGGTGAACGAGTAATTCTCATTCTTACTCGTCGGAGAATGAAACCATGAAGTTTGGTATAGGAAACATCTTCAGGAATCAAATTATCAAGCCGTGTGAGCATTTCTAGATGTCAAAAGGGGAAAATTTCCCGCAAATCCATTATTGTTATCCCCGGCGATGTACAAGCATGATCGAGAAGACTAGTCGAGTGCCGGCCGGTGGAAGAGATCGATGTTGTCTCGAGTACTGAGAACATTATCTTGTCCTTCCGGTGAAAGGGTTTTCACTTTTCACCAATTTGGTACCCGGAATTCTTTTGCTTGATTTTTATATCACAGTTTGATTTGGACAGCTCAAAATGAAAGGAAGGATGGATGGATGTCGCCATCCATAAAAGCGTAGGTTTTCAGTTACTCGACCTACTTCCTTTCTTTCCAGTTTTTCATATTTGATAGTGACCACGTTCCTAGCTTGGTCCATTTCATGGAGCACGTAGTTGTGTTTCTTTTTCTTCTACATTCATTGTTGTTAAAAAGATACAGAATTTATTTTTCCTGTACCTTGATGAGAAGGCTTGGACTTTTTGATACAATCTTGAATAGGAATTACGCGGGCATAAATAATACGAATGCACAGTAATAATACAATTTCAAATACATGGATTTCTCTTTTGATCTTTGACAAAGATAAAAGTTAAGACTCAAATTCAGGCTGTTGGATCAAACTAATTGATCAAAGACAAATTTTCAATGACAAAAAAAGCACGCGATTTCTAATAATTCTATTGCTTTGAGTTTTTCGAAGGGAGTGAGAAAAACAAATAGATGGTACACGGACACTGAAAGTAGATATCCTGAAAATGTATGTGTATAAGACTTCATACTCGTATAATTTATGGGCGTCGAGTTTACCCAAAACATTCAACAATTCATGCAACTATATATGTGGGACTCAATATCTGAATTCTTGTAAATCGGACACTGTATTTTAACATTGATTACATGAATTCGGGATTTTGAATTTATGTATTATACATTACGCGCTATTAACTTCATAAATTCCTAAAATTTATTTATTCTGCTCGTTAAATGAACTCGTACGAATTTTGATATCTAACTACCACGAGTGTACAACCGTTCGACCTAATCTTTGGTCCATATAAGTTTCTTACTATTTGACTGTAGTTTTCATGAGTTTGATCCGGTCTGGATCAGACCGTTGCACGCCTTAATGGCTGCGGCAAAGGCATATTCTACAAAGGGCGAGGATTCGTCATTTTCATACAAATAATGGATTCATGAAACGTCCACGAACAATTATAACGAAGGAAATAAAATGCGACACAACCAGAATGGCAGACGAATCTACCCTAAATGTTATTCACGTTGAAACTTCAACCAACCGCTCAAGTCCATTCCGGCCGGCTCTCTTGTTCCGGTTTCTGTTGCTTTCAGCTTCAGTACTAGTAGTATTAGACGTATCACCCAAGGTAACCCAGATACACTAAAATAATTGGTACAATCAAGTCCAACAACAACAGCAAAGAATATACAAAGCCGTCAACCGAGGTAAACGATTACTATAATACAATGTCTCGCTAACAGATAACTATGGTATCAAATACACATCGCACACAAGGACTATCCAACAACAAGAAACAAGCAAAAAAAAGAAAAAAAAACAACGAAACGACAGCGTTTTCGCCGCATTGGCCCCTCCCATGTTCTGCCTGCCCCATCCAGAATTTTTCCAACGTACAGTAACCACACAAACCCAAAACAACAGGAGGAAGTCCAATCTTGCCCCTACCGGATAATAATCATTCTGGAAAGAATCTCAGAAAGTGACACAATAATATGCTAAACTCAAAAGGGTCTAGAATTAAATCAGTTTCTAAGTCGACAACTACATGTGAGTGTTGTATATGTAAATCCAGGTATAAGAAGGAATCCAAACACAAGACTCTCTTATCCTGCTAGTCCCACAAATCATTCAAGCAATTATGTAACTACTTCCCCACAGGCTCGAACCCATCTCTCTCAATCCTAGTGTTCTCTGCTGTGTGATGTTTGTTTTATTAGAGTATATATGTGAACTGTGAAGCAGCAGTTTTGAGCAATGCTTACTTGAGAGGCCAAAGGCGTATATGCTAGATTCTTGGATGTCTTCTTTTGGTACCACGTCTTTGCTTTTCCCCTTCGTTCATGTAATCAGAGAGCCACATTAGACCCTTGTAGCCATAATACGAAGCAGCTATCAGAGTAACCACGAGGATGACCACTAGAAGCAGCTTCTTCACGGCAGGGAGGATTTTCTTGTCCAAATAGTAGGGTTAGTTCATTAGTTATGCCAGCAGTAACGAAAGATGGAAGTACAATGTTTTCGATCGCCCTCTCGTACGTGCCCAGCGTTGATCTGTTGGATCCACATGGTTGCAAAAACATACGCCAACATGCGTGATGCAAGATCAGAGAATGCACGGGGCCGATCCAACGACATCAAGACGTACCGAAGGACCCTCCCCTGTCAGCTTAACAGGACAGGGAGTTTGTGGCTTTAAGCTCTATCAAGGCAGGGGAAAAAAGGGATACCTGGAGTGTGGATAACTGATTTGCTTCTTGTAACCGCTGGCGTCGTTTTCTACGCCTAGAAGGCTGTGCCTCAGTAGGGCCGTCTTTCTCCTGCCATATATGTGAAAAGCATAACATGTTTCAGTTCAAAGTTGCTTAAACCAATAATGTGCAAGATGCTGCTGGCAGAGTTTTTCAGTAGTAAATAACTGATAGTGATGGATGACTTGATTTGTATTTTATCACACAAGGGGTGTTTCACTTGAATAGATGCCTACCTAACCTTGAGCTTTTTGGGTTTGGTCAGCTATCAATTCAGACAACCCTTTTTGTGGAAAACGTACAAGTAGAAGGATATATGAGTGCAGGTTTCTCTACATGCTGATAAATTCTACCATCAATGACATTGAAAAGTTGAGATAAAATGATTCCACAAGTTAAAAACTCCATCACATGCAATTTGCAAACACATAGGATGAGCAGTATTAAATGAGATTCTGGTCCAAGGACACCAACCTTAGCATCCTTTGATGTACGCAAATGCAGTTCCTGCTCCACAACTTGAATTTTAGCCTTGCAATCTGAATTACAGGGTAGAAGTCTGAGTCCAAAGTGCTTTTTAGACACATCTTTGGGATCAGAACCAGCTACACAATGGGCTTCCTGAACATCTTTGCAAAGCCACTCCTTTTTCAAAGTTTGACACTGACAGCGAACGGTGACCTTCCAAAAAGATCATTTACACAGTCAATATAGTTAAGTTCATAGGAAGAACTAAACTAGCATAATTTATTCCATTAGATGATCTGAAAAATCATCCTAACATTGTCTTTATCCAAGTTGATAGAACTCTTCCTTACCTTTTTACTGCACTTGTCAGGTGATGAACATTGACCTGGATGACATGTCTCCGGGCATAAATGTGTGCAGTTAGGCAACTTCCTGCATCACTAAAAAGGCATTAGTTTCAGAACTTCTAACATACTAATAGAACGTTATGGGACGTCTAGCGCTGACAGGTATCAGGCTATCAGCTACGATGCAACCAGACCTAATGAGATACCCAAACCCAATGCAACCTGTGGGCTGTAGCAATAATGGCATTAACCATAAATAGAAGTATTCTCAAAATCAGTTGGTCCACATTTCATGACGGTTGACAACTTCCAACTCAAGACATAATGTGAATACATACAAATTAAAACCAGGAACATGAGGGAATATTCTTCACCATTGCCAATGGACTACCATATAGGAAGTACTTCAGCCCACTGCATCGAGCTACAATTTTGTAGCATTGTAACGGACTGTATTCTTGGATCAAGAGAATAACTTAGGAGAGTCTTGAGCCCAACATACAGCATTGTGGCCACTCTTGGTTTGATTTTCTACTACAGAATATATAGAAGGTAAACAGCGAAGGTGCGCCACAAGCGCAGATGTGCATTCAAGGGTCAGTCTTCTGCACCTTTGCATTTTTTAGACAAGGAACAGTCTGAAAATTCCATAGATCAGATCAGAGGTCTCTTTGGCTAGTCATTTTCTGTTTTTATGTTCAATCGTGTAAACTTTTTAATATTTCTCATCAGGTTTTATGGTCTACAATAACTTTTGATTTCATACGCTTTGTTGTGTTTCCATATAATCACTCAAGTTATCAAAAGAAAGCAATAAGGGTATCCAGCACATAAAAGTAGAGATAGGATTAGGAAAAGAAGAAAGAAATCAGCAGGCACCTCTCTGGTGACTATGCATACACACACGAGCATCATCAACAACCATTGGAAAAGAGAGTAGTTCTACGTACCGATGGCAGGGTCAACCACGTGCACGAACAGAAATTTGCTACTTTTTTGACAAGCTGTTGTAGTAAATGCACTCAAAAGCATGGACCATAGAACCACAGTGGCAAGACCGTTTCACAAGTGCCTTTCAAGGTGGACAATCATCAGGATGACACCGCAAAGAACAAGGATGTGTACAACCAGGCTTCATCTCCTGTACGTGTTTAGAATATTATGTAATTACGAAAATTTGATAATTATATCCATATAGGAAAGACATGATTAATTTAGATGAAGAAGTTTCAAACAGAGAAGGTCTATTACCTTTCACAAGGAAGATTACACTTTTCACATGACTCACTTGTACCAATTTGGCCCAACCATTTTGAGGCATTGAACTTCAGAGCATGGCAAGACTTAGTACATTGGTGATTGCCACAAGGAAGAGGATTCCCGCAGAGATTTTCACAAGAAAACACGGTTTTGTCTGAGCAAACCATCTAAATTCCACACAAGAAATAGACGGCAAGTTACCAACACAGGGAAAAGAAACATCTCTTACCAAAAAAAAACCCAACAGAAAACAAACATAAAGAGAACAAGAAAAGCCATGCAATGGACCAAAACCAACATAGGTATTTTAAACAAATTTAAATGACGGAATAGAACCAACCATTCTCTCTGCAGCATATTGTTGGCCAACACATGATCTCCAAACAAGTTCTGGGCAAGGAGACCCCGGGGTAGATTCACTGTGATGAAAAGGCTTCTTCTTCGTTGGTTTAAACATGAATTCAGGTTTGGGAGGGGGCATTGGACCATGGCATCTGAAGCATAAAAACAACTATAGCTTGTTAAATCGGATATCTGGAATTACCATCCAAGTACTATATATTGATAAATGTTAATTATCTCGAAATTAAAGGAGAACCTTAATTTGCACTTATGTCCGCATGGGTACTCTTCACAAATTAACCGACATGGTGGGCAAGCACCATAATGACACTTGTGTGGCTGGACAGAATTCCAAATTAGAAATGGTTAAATCTCTGATCAAGATAACATGTTACAATAAATAAATCGCTGGAATGGATATAACAGAGGGTTTCAACAGTGTTAAAAAGTAAAAACAATGAAAAGCCTGCAAAAAGCCCAAAACTGATATAGAATTCATTTACTAGTAATACCTTGAAGTGTGGCCCATGCCTGCACAAAGGAGGAATTTCACATAATTTTCGACATTTAGGAGGCTTTTGGTCCTTCTCTGTTCCACAAGGAACCTAGCAACACATCCATGACCACCAATAAATTTGCATTTTTCACAAATCAGTGCAAGGAATTCAACAGCAAAAAGTAGGAGAATAGAGAAGTTCTTGTTGCATCCTTTAGCATAAAAAAGAGAATTATACTTTGAAACATAATGTCCTGACAGTAGCTTTAGAAATCAGGTCAGCCAGTAACTGAAGCCTATTTCGGTAAGAGCCGGTTCATACTGCTATCATGAATAAACAGCTTCCTCCCAATATCCAACAGGGTTGGGATGAGTCAAAAAAGAAACTCACCTCAAATCGTGTTGACCACAAGCACGTGATATTGGAACCATCACAGGACAAGGGGCACAGGGACCTCTACAGAATAAGAAAATCATGATAAGCACACGAGAGCAAAGCTACAATATGAAAGCAATTTGGCTATTGGTCCCTAGAAATGCTAAATCACATAAGTAGCCCATCACATAGATGCGGACATTGTTGCAAATATATATGCAGTGTGTAGCTTGAAAGCAAACTTCTGGTGGACAAAATACCCCCAGTGCTACTCCAAATCTTGTTCTATAATCTAATGGAGCTGCATACAATAAATCATGCCTATGACAAGGGGAAGGGCATCTGTGATTCTTGCACCTTAATCTCTTCCCACAAACCTGAAATTCAAAGCTCAGTCACATTCTAGCAAAAATGAAGAAAATCAATTTAAGTAAGATGTTTTAGGAACTTCTCCACAAGGCGGGAAATCCCCACCACAGCAGCGACGTCTACAAGCATGGCGTCCACAATCCCTTGCTATCTGACACTTACTGTCACATGCTAAATCTTGATAGCAAGGATCTAATCTCAAGTCAGTAAAATCTAGCCCGAAAACACAATATGCAATAAACAATAAAACATATAGCACACCAACAAATATTCACTGTTTCCTGTTCCTTTTCGGCATTTGTCAAGTTGTTCTTGGACCCAACTATGAAGCAACCTTACAATCAAAAGCATATACGCTAGAACTAGATTTTACCTCTTTCTTCAGGCCTCCACAACGGCACGACTTGAAGACAACCATTCTGCAGGTCTCAGCACACTGCCCTCGGTGGCACCTTTCATGACACCTATGGAACCCACAGCTCAACAATTTGTCACAACTATCTCCACATAGCGGCACTGCAACATCACAGGACATTCCTTCATGCACTCTCTTCCCACAAGGGCAAGTCCTCCTCCCTTGCAGCGGACATCCACCACACCCTCCCGGAGAGTGACAACCTTGCTCGCGCAGATGCTTCCCGCAGCTCAATGGTTTCTTGCATGGAATCTCACATCTGAATTTCCTCTCACAACATTTCTTCTCCTCTTCTTCCTTCTCACACAGGCAGCGATAAACCCCGCGCTCGTGACAAGGGGGACGCTCTCCATCTTGACAAATCTCTTTACATTTGTGACTCTTACAATCTAACAGCTTATTGCATCGACTATTACACGAGTACACATTATATCCACACCGCCGCACAACTTCAATCTTGCCGCAATAACATGATGCCTTAACCAGTTTAGGACACGGAGGGAGGGCACGGGCCCGGGTGACACAACAACAAGCAGAAATGGCCACAATTATTCTTCAACGGACGGTTACAGAGCTCGCCGCACGAAAGCGGCAAAATCCAGGGATTACCATTCGGAGCGAGTGGCGGCGAGATCGGAGGCCTGGCGAGCCCATGATTGGATGCAGAGGAGGTGGAAGACGTCGAAGCAGGGGGAGGGAAGCGCAAGACCAGGTGGGATCGGACGGGCGGATGCGCTCCAGGCATACAAGGCATGAGAAGGAAGAATGGAAGATGGCGGTGACGGGGACGGGATTGGATTTTTGAGAGGTCGTGCGGGGACGGGGAAACGGAGGTGGCGGTGAGCTCGAAGTAGAATTTGAAGATGGAATTGGAGAGGACGGAGTTGGACTCGCCGGCCTGAGAGCGGTCGGAATCGGAATCTGAATCGGAGAACGAGTGTTGCTTTCGATAAACACCCTCAGGTTCGCTGTTCGGAGTTTTAAGTTCCAACACCTCAACTTTGCCTCAAGCAGGTGGATCGCGGAGTTAAGTGGGACCAAATAGGGTTTGAAACATCTGAATGAATAATACAAAATCCTGATTTAACTGTTTTGTACCGCTAAAAATTGCATATTCGCCACTAATATGGCATAGTTTCACAAACACTTATATACTAATCATCATACCAAAACAACAGTGAACTATGAGCTCGGATCTCGGTGGAAGGCTGCTAATAAAACTGAACTTCAGGAAGCACAAGCAGAGGTGAAACCTTTCCATTTTCCTTTTTATGCACACCATATACACATTGCAAAAACCCACCCTTTACAAAAGTCGACATGAACCTTCAATCCAACACCCCAAAGACACACCATTACCCTAACAGCCGGAGTTTTAGTTTGATGGTACATATGTTCTCAACTGCGATCTTCCTAGAGCTCAAGTTACTCTAGAAAAGGGTTACTCCCCTCCGTGACTGAAGTTTGAGTCCCCCTAATGAACCAGCAAAGAAAACAAAGCAACTTCCACATCCTGTATCGTCTGCAACACCAAAAAGGTTGACAGGAAGATGCCATTATTGCTCACACAGTCGCACAGCAACCTCAACTGAATCTTATGTGTATATATATAGCCAAAGAACCGCCCACTGGAAATGGGGGTTTTGGTCGATCTCCACAACTCCATCCGATTCATCTCTCAGACAAAATCAAAGTGCACCAGTAGCTTGACATTGTTGTATTTCTTGCCCTCTCGATCATGGAGCGGAACAGCCCGGATTCCACTTCGTATTTCGGACACAGGGAGACAAGTTTGGCCTCCGAAATCATCCTTTTCCGACATGTCGTACTCGTGGACTTCCAGCCTCAGCAAGGCTAGTTCTGGAACAGTTAACTGGAACTCGAACTCTTCGTTCCAAACCGGTATCCAGTTGTCCTCTAATGTCTTTGTTTTCTTCATCACTACATCTGCTGGGACTCCGGCGATCCCCACCTGCTTACAAGAATGGTTAATGATCAGGCATTGAATTATCTTCGGTGATAAATATTACAATCAGTAAGAAGAGAGATGGAGAGCAAATCACAAGCAAAACTGAGTAACTGATGATTGAACTCACCCTGGTGTAGAAATCTGGTGGGGAATACTGATCAAAATGTGTGTGGCGGAAATCGTAATACCATCCTTCTCCCATGTATATCCTCACCTGTCGAACAGGCAAGAAAAAGGCGAATGAGTTTCCGTTTGGAAAAATGAGCCGCAGTGGATGTAGATTTTAATCCCAATTTTATTTATTTGTGTAGTCATCACCTTAAGAGTTTTCTTCACAGGTAACTTGGCTCTAGGGTCAAACACTTCATTGTTAGGACCTGACTTCAGTAGAAAATCTGGTTTCTTAACATAACCGCACCCTCCATTGGACTTGAACATTCCATGCATCAACCACAGAGATCTACCAAATCCCTGTAGTCAATAAACTAAGCCTAATTAGCTGAAAGGATGTTACCGTATAACCAAAGACAAAAATAAAAAATAAAAACTGGTGAAAGATAGTTTGTAAAGAAGCAAAGAAAGAAACTAAAAAACAGGATAACTGTTTAAAAGAAAATACCTGCATGTTAAAAGCAACCATTTGAGCTCCATGCATCCAACCGATAAGGGGGTTGTAGTTGGATGAAGTAATACGAGTGCCCTTCGGGTACACCCTCAAGATGTTTCTCTGGGTAAATCTGTCGTCTTTAACCATCAGAATTGATAAAAATAGTTCTCCAATAATCAACTTGACTGCGTTGAAGTTTTGCAGAAACTTGAAAGAATAAAGCAATAAATTGCAAAATGGGCTTCAGGAAACAAAAGGAAAGGAAGGATCTTCAAATGGTGCACACCTGACAATATCAGTACCCCGAGTCTCTGCAACTTTTTCTAGCTGCTGCTCACTTAAGCTAAGACGCCTCACTTTCTCGGGATCTACTTTAAGACACTCACTCATACCCCCTTTAGGCTTCCCAGCATGGATAGCAATTAAACGTCTATATTCTGGTGCAAGAGACTTCTGTGATCTGTTCAGTCCTTCATCAGGATCTTCCTCATCATCTTCATCTTCCTCAGGTTCTTCCTGTGAGAAGGACGTCAAATTAGGAGAGAAAGAACAAACACCTCCAGTTGACTCTAAAATCACATGGTTAGGGTTCACACTTACCTTGTCATTGCCTGAAGCAGGGCCTTTAAGATGTGGCACTTCTTTCCCCCACGCTTCTTCATCACTTGCAGTTTTCCCGTTTAGTGAATCACCTTCCTGGGCATCTTTGGGAACGGCAGCTGACATATACTCTTTTGGTGGTTTGGTTGATATAATAATCCGTTTCTTCAATGATTCTGGGGAGGGGAATTCTTTTAAGCAATCTGAATTAGGACAGAACAGGATGTCTCCAAATGTACTCGTGACCATCTACAAGTTCATTCCAAAAAGGAAAGGAAACATTACAATGATAATTCCCAAGAAATCAAAACCCATCCAATTAACAAACTCTTACCTCCGCGACTTTAGCCTGCAGATCTGGAGTGAGGTGGTCTTCTAGAGTTATGACTACAGGATAATCAGATGCGGTAAAGGCATGTTCTTTAATAGACCTCAAACATTTTATAAGTTCCACAGGAGTTGTCAGAGTCCTGCGCCGAGAGAAACAGTTACCGTGATTACAAACAAGTTCAAGACTATGTAACAGGAAAAGATTATTGATTATATTCAACAATAATCTCTTCATAGAGAAATTCATCTTACATAACAACAACAAAAATCGCTGTCCTGGTTTAAAGCTGACAACTGCAGTCTAGAGAGTCATAACCAAGATAAAGAACAATAGAAAAATCTGGAAGTATGTTCAAAAGATTTATGCATCATTTCTTTTACTTCCCTATTTCAGAGGTAGCAATGTATATCATGCCATCCATCTCAGGAGGTAAACCAGAGAAACAACTACAGTACCTTCCATGAAGAACTTCAATGCCATCCTTGTTGGAATTGGGCCATATATCCAATTCAATCACCCTCACACCTCTCTGCAGGGCATGTATGATTGGAACATCGCTGCAGTCACTACTAAGTTGGTTCCCAGTTAGATACGAATTGTGTCCCGTGTAAATGAAATAATGCGAAAGAGGAGCACTCATATCATGATGCACCTGCAAAAACAGAGAAAATGTGCAATCGTTACAGAAGAATTTGGGATAGTTAACATAACCAACCGTAAGCCACAGCAAAAAAATCAGCCAAAAGAGGCAACTTCAATCCACCAAATGACCGAAATCAAGCATCCGTAAGCAACCTCACAGGGAAACAAAGAACTGTTTGACAATTGGATTCGACTAGTCACAGGAAATGTATCTCTAAACAGAAAGTCAGAAACCAATCAAACCCACTAAGCTAAAAAAGGAAAGTGATGCGAGGGAATGTTTCCTGGCTGGTACGGCTAGCAACTACTCCTGAACGAAACAAAATTCCAAAAGCGCAAACAAATCTCAACCGACAGAAACCCTCACCAGAGAGGGGGAAAAGAACAGAATTGGAAACCACAGCAAGTGAAGTAAACAGTGAGGTCAAAGGAAGAGAAAAAGGGGAAGGTGGGGAAAAAGTTCAGAATCATCTAAATTCTCACCCCGCACTGGAGGTCAACAGGAGGGTTAATGTCGCCGAAGAGGTACTTGAAGAAGGTCTCGAGGTTGAGACTCTGGCCCTTGTGGTGGTGCAAGATGTTCAAATGCTTGAGCTCGTGAAGACTGTTGATGGCAGCTTGAGCGTCCTCGAGGGTTGCATTCTCCTGCTTCTGGACCTCGATCAGGAAGCGGCGGAGGTGATCGGCCGACATGAGCCCATTCTCGGAGTAGCGGTCGAAGAAGCCTTTGATCTCTTCCGGGGCCTCGGCGACGGCGAGCTTGAACCTCCGGCGGAAGCAGAAGCAGACCCTGTAAGTCTGCTTCGACATTGTTGGGCGGGAAGAAAGAGAGATCGTGTCAGCTGGGTTTTGGGAGAATTGCCGAATTGGAGAGGTTTCCGGGACAGTGTGAGAAGAAGAAGGGAGTAGAAGATCAAAAGGAAGTGGGAAGAAGTTAATTAATTAAATTGAATAACATATTCCGGGGAAGATTAAGAGGAAGCGGGGCCCAATTAATTAAATAAAACGGAAGCGGAGTGGGACAGTTGGGTTATGAGGTGGGAAGTGATTCGTCAGAGGGGGATTGAGCTGGCACTTTGCCTTTTTGTTTTTATTCATCCGGTTTCTAGCTCTTCCTTTATTATTGTTTTTATTTTAATTAACAATGGTTGCACATTGAATTATTATCATTAATTCTTAGGAGATAATCCTATTAGTTTTGGGAAGTCTAATGTGATGTAAGTGATGAATAATGATTAAGTAATCATGTTTTTTTTTTTTGGTGGAAAGTAATCATGTTTTCATCACTGATTAAGTATTTTATTAGGCATTTAAAAAAAAATTAAAAGTGTATTTTTATGGTTAACTCTATATTTGCGTAGATGACAAAACATAGGCGAAATATTTAATGAAATTATATATATAATTTATTATAACTTCTTTGGGAAAATCCTTTTTGTCTTCTTTCTTTTGCTCTAATGATTGAATAAGTACCTTTCGTTTCAGGAGTAGAAATGATTTATTTTGTAAAAAGGAATAAAATGGTTAATTTGAGGGGAAGCAAGGTATAAGAAGTTTAAAAAGAAGAAATAGTTAATTAATCATGGGTTAATACTTTAGTTTGGCCTGAACTATACACATACTTTCTATTTTGGCCCGTGGTATTGGAAATTGCTATTCTGTCTTGAACTATGTAGCAAACTTTCTCATTTGGCCTGGAGGCGGGTTTGACCGTGGTCAAACCTGTTGACGGTTAGTCAATGTCCACCTCACCTGCCACGTCAGCTTTGAGGACATAAAAAAAATTCCTGATTTTTTTTCTTCTTTCGATTAATAAAAATAATAAATCAAAAAAATTAATTAAAAGAACGAAAAAGGGCCCTTTTTAGCAAATGACAAGAAAGCAAAATTCAGAAATAAAAAAAATATTTTTTTATATCCTCAAAACTGACGTGGCAGGTGAGGTGGACATTGACTAACGGTCAACAAGTTTGACCGTCTAATTTAACGGTCAAACCCTCCTCCAGGCCAATGAGGAAGTTTGCTACATAGTTCAGATCAGAATATCAATTTCTAATACGACGGACCAAAATAAAAAGTATGTGTATAGTTCGAGCCAAGCTAAGTTATTAACCCATTAACCTAAATCTATTATGTTGTTGGCTGTGGACCCTGAGCACTAAAAGAAAGGGATAATAACTTATCATGAGAAAACATAACTGTGCTGGTCTTTCACCCTACATAGGTTTCGGCATTTTGCTACTCCAGTCCCCACACTTTTCCCTGTTCCTTTTTGGCTATCAAATTGAGTTGAAATGATGTCGGTAAAGCATGCCATTGCCATCGATTTATATAAAAAAAAAAATTTGACAGAAATTATCAATTAACTTCGGTTTGGTAGCAAAATGATGACCAAAGTTTAAATGTCAGGAATTGATCATCTAAATACGAGTATATACAAATATAAAGTTATTGTACACTTTCATCCATGGAATAAACGAGTTCTTCTTTGAGAATTACGTCTAACCTTTTCAGAGATTTCAAATTTTCAATGGTGCAGCAGTTGAATCTAACAAGTAATACCTACACTCTAAGACCACAAATTTTGATTTGAATCCTTTAATTTTGCTGCCTAACTAATTAGTATAATTCTGCTCCAAGATTTACACATAAATTTACATACATACATACATACATAAAAATCTACAAAAGCTCAAATCCCATCAAAAGCTTTACATTATTCAGCTTCTCGCCTTTCTTGTCGTGAAGATGAACCGATCGTATCCCTCGTCTGAGCTCTGAGACGGGCAAACATGTCTGCCCACCAAAATCATCTTTCTCAGACTTGTCATGATCTCGGACCTCGATTCGAAGCAGAGCTAGCTCTGGAAGCGTCAATGGGAACATAAACTCTTCGTTCCATATGGGAGACCAATTGTCCTCGATGATCCTTGTTTTCTTTTGCGTCGAATCGACTGCTGCACCAACAATGTAAATCTGCTTGCATACACATATCCAAGTATGATAGTTTTTATGAGAATTTCCTATTCCTGGATAGTGTTGGAATGGTTTTCAGAAGTATGTATGATATACTTAAAATGGATAAACTCTATTTAAAATATTGTAGCCCATTAAGCTAACTGTTTCAGGGTCATTCTAGAGTGTTTATTTGACTGTTAAAGTCGGTGAACTTAATTCCATTACGCAACTTTGTATTTTGTTGATATATGAATATTAATATGCCTAATTCGACAAACACCTATGTCATCAAAGAGTTCAAACAGAACACAAGTCTTCTCACCTAGGTCCCAAGCCTACTCCAAGACTTCCTACCAAGGAAGCCCCAAACTCTTATAGAAAGACTCTTAATCTTCCAAGCTAGGGGATCTTCTCATCCCTTCCTACAATTTCAGAACATGGTTCACTCTCTAGACCCATCTCTATCTACATCTCTCTCTACTTTACATATGTTCCTGATTATATTGTACTAATTTGGACATCAGAGTATAAATCATGGGGATCACCCCTTTTGAACATGGTCCGTGAAATCGTACCGGAGACCGTACCGGAAAAGTCAACAATAGGGTATTTCATGACAAAACCGTGGTTTAAACATAGTTCAACCGTTAGTATCGTTAAATACCACCTACCGATTTAATCTCCGATCTGGGATTTTGTGGTTGAACCGTCGGTACAGTACAGTTTCATGGACCATGCTTTTGAGGAGAAAGAACAAGGAAGCCTAGATAAAAGCCCCAAAGATGATTTTTTATATCAATCGAGGTCTTGATCTTGGTCGAAACAGATAGAATTACCTTGATGTAGAAGTCTGGTGGTGAATAAGCATCAAAATGTGTGTGGCTAAAGTCGAGGCGCCATCCATCACCCAAATACACCTTGACCTATATTGATCAGAATGAATGATATATATATGATAAAGATATCTCCAAGGCACATGATCGAATTCAACATTCAAGCAGAAACTATACATCAATTAAAGCTCACCTTCAATCGTTTTTGCACTAACAATCTTTTCCTGGGATCGAAAACCTCAGTATTATTGATGCCTTTCTTCATCAGAAAATCAGGCTTCTTCACGTACCCGCATCCTCCATTAGCCTGGAACATACCATGCATCAACCAAAGTGATTTCCCATATCCCTGCATGTTGAATGCAATCATTTGTGCCCCATGCATCCACCCCACCATCGGCTTGTAATTAGAGGACGTGATTCGTGTTCCCTTTGGATAAACTCTCAATATGTTATTTTGCGTAAATCTGGACCCAATCACAGAGCTTTTATTTGAGAGATCCTGTATTTGAATTCTAACGAAACCATTCAAAGTGGATGGTTTAGTTATGCACGTATACCTGACTATATCAGTTCCATTTGTAGTGGCGGCCTTCTCAAGCTCCTGCTCACTCATACTAAGCCGTCTGATTTTATCGGCGGCAGGGCGCAATGCATCTTTTAGTGCTCCCTTAGGCTTTCCGGCATGAATGGTTATAAGCCCTTTGTACCCGGGAGGATTTAGTTGCCCTGATGATCTGCAGTCACTCCAATCTTCGTCTTCTTCATCACTAATGTTGCTCTGCATCCATGCGGTTTCATGACAAGATTCGTCAGTAATTAGTTAGATGAATAATTAGTCACATCGTATCATGCTACACGAAAACCTGGCTATAGAAACAGATAGTTAGTAACATCGTACTCACCCAGTCATCTGTTTCAAAAGTTTCAATTGCATCTTCATAATAATCTTCATTGTCATCCTCGGTCCCACTATCTCGTGGCGTTCCCTTTTGTTTGATGCCGCTCGATTCGAGATACTCCTTTGGCGGTTTGGTTGAGATCATGACTCGATATTTCAGTACTTCCGGCGAAGGCAACTGAATCAAGCTATCCGACTCTGGGTAATACAACATCTCCCCAAATATTTGAACCAACATCTACACATCCAGACACATACTAGAATTAAGCTTTCATTAATCAGTCATTAAAAAGGCAACATCATCTTATGAGATCGAAATCAAAAGGCTAAGCAATTACTAACCTCTGCAACTTTCTCTTGAAGCTCTGCTGTGAGGTGATCTTCCAAGGTGATTATGACCGGATAAGGAGAACGGACGAAAGCATAGTCTCGTATCGACTTCAAGCATTTGAAGAGCGATACAGGCGTGGTCAAGGTCCTATACAATTGATTAGCATTCATCCTCTCCAAACCACATTGATTCATGTATAGATTATTTACCTGCCGTGAAGAACATGGATCTCGTCCTTGGAGGAATTAGGCCATAAGTCTAGCTCAATCACTCGAACCCCTCTCTGTAATGCTCTTACAATGGGGACCTCGCTGCAATCACTGCTGAGCTGATTCCCAGTTAGGTAGGAATTATGGCCTGTGTATATGAAATAATGTGACAATGGCGCACACATATCATGATGCACCTGTTCAATCACATTATGCGTACTATCTGTCAACATTCCGGAAAACCCTAAATGATTGTACGTAGTTGATAATGGCTTTTCACCTGTTTGTTGATGGGGCCATTGAGGTCGTCGGAGAGCAAGAACTCGAAGAAGTCGTCGAGTTTGAGGCCATTATCGACGTACGCCGTTGAATGGTGCCGCCGTTGAAGGATTTCGGCGACGAGCCTCTCGGCTTCCTCGAGCGTGCAATCGTGCTCGCTCTGGTGATCGGTAAGGAAGCTACGGAACTGATTGGCGGTCATCTCCTGACGGCCCTCCGAATACTCGGCGAATAGATTCTGGACGTCGGCCGGCGGCTCGGGCTCCGTGATTTTGAACTTGCGATTGAAGACGCTGAACATCTTGTAATTGTAACTCCCCTTACCGTCATCGTTATTGTCGTCGGCGTTGGGGTACTCTGCATTCTTGTTCTTCCCCATATCGTCGTTGAATCAATGATCAAGTCCCAGTTACCCTTATTTTTCTCCCTGATTTGGTTTTCTTCTTCCGGTATGTGGGAGACGGGGAGAGCGAGAGAAAGGAAAGAGAGGAGAGAAGGTGAAGAGGTTGGGGAGAGGGCTACAATAGAGGAGACCTTGAAGAAAGATTGTCAAGTTAAGTCGTTAATCTCGTCAATAATCTGATTGAGACCATTGTGAAATGTTCTGTACATTTTATAACTAAATATATAAATAATTCAAAAAATTTAATGACTAAAATAAAATTTATCTTATATGTAATTATTAAAAACTCATTTTTCTAATAAAAGAAAACTTACCTAATTATCTTGATTCGCCTATAGGGATGGCAATCAAACCCATGATCGAGGGTATCCGACCGCCCTGGATCTAATCAACGTGGGGAATCCCCGCAGTAACTGGATATGGGACGGGTATGGGTAAAACCCGCAAAAAATTTGATGGGTTTGAGGTGGGTATGATTTTAACCTCCCCCGCCCCATTACCCATATCCGCCTTACCAATAATATTTCTTCACATATGAAAAATACTTAAAGTTATGGATCAAATTGAAACCTATCAATGATAATGAAGGTTAACTTAAGACAATATATAGTTGAAATGCAGTTAAGTGGTCACCCAAATCTAAATCTAATTAGTTTTTTTACGTAAATTCTCCCTTCATTCTTTCACTTTTCCCTCTGGTTAACAAGATAATTATGTTAGTAAATAATTATTTAGAGTTAGAAACTAATGATTTGGAAGATGTTATACTTATATCTTATTGATTAATAGATGTTTTAGGATCATACGATTCGACCATATTATGAATAATTGTATTTTGTTGACTTAATGATATAATTGAAAATTTACATATAAAGTCTTAGGTATAATGATGTTGGATGTACGAGGCGGTTATTACACATGGGTACCCGAAACCCACGAGTATGACTTATGAGGATGGGTTTCCAAAACCTTTTCCAGCATGGGTATGCAAACCCACCCAAAATCCGCTTCATTGCCATCCCATACTCACCCACTATCTCTCTTCTCTCTTTCTCTCCCCCATCTTCGTCTCCCTCTCTCAGGGTCAAAACACTTGCTTTCTAGAGACCGCTTTGGAGCTAGGGATGACAACAAAACCCGAATCCACGGGTACCCATCTGACCCAACCCGGTCAATGCGGGTAAAATCCGTGTTGACGGGTTTTGGGCCGGATTTGGGTTTAAACCCGTTCACTATTCATCGGGTTGGGTTGGGTTTAGGTAAACCCGACCCATGGGTACCCGCCCATACCTATATAATTAATTTTCTCGGTATATTTGATATTCTATACAACTAATCTTATTTATGTTTGTGGAGACATTTCTAATTTTTTCTTTCTAATTGTGTAGAATTAAGTTGATGTTATCGAGTGGAGAGTGCAGAAACTTAATTGAAAGGAAGAAGTTTTCAATTAATCATGTTATTTATGGATAATTTGTGATTTGCTTCAATTTTCTAGATTGGTGTTGAACAATTTGTATAGTTAATTTGTGATTTGTTTGAATTTTCTAGAATGGTGTTTTATATATGGATAATTTGTATTGAGAGATTGATATTTGACTTTAATTTTGGTAGGAACTTGTTATTGTAAATTTTTACGACAAAAACCCGTGGGTACCCATGAACCCGCGGATACTCAGCGGGTTGGGGTTGGGTTTGAGTTTTTCGAACCCAGTGGGTTTTACCCCGGATTTTTTTCACTGATAAACCCATGGGTTTGGGTTTGGATTTGGCAAAACCCGACCCAACCCGACCCATTGCCATCCCTATTTGGAGCTTCATTTTAGTCGGATCGAGTCCAACTAGTCGGCCGATAAAGGTTTAACAACCCTGATTTGAAGCTCAGTCGTGGGAGGCATCCTTATGCTAGTAATGATATCAATCTAATAAACACTTTTTCTTTGTTTTTTTTTTTTTACAAATGAAAACACTTTTTCTTTGTCATGTTTTGTTTTATGTACATATAACATGATTTAGAATTGAACATGGTACGTGTGTTGAAATTATCAAGATTCGATGTAGTTTGTATTTCTCTTTGTACATAAAATGGTATGTCACATATACTTAACCAAATCTTAATATGTACAAATATCGATTTTGATACATTGTGACGAATCTCACGAAAACAATTCAACAATAACTAAGAAGGAAAAAGCCTTAGGGGGTCATTTGGATGCAGGTTTTGGGTGTAGGATTTGGGCACAATCCTACATAGTGTAGGATTTTAATTAAATCACTCGTTTGGAAAACAATTATATGATGAGAGATTTTAAATATTAGAGATTTCAGAAACCCACAATTGTGGGATTATGAAATAGCTGATGGTGATCAGCTATTTTAAAATCTCACACAAATCCCACAAATTAAAAACCTAGGTTTTTGAACCAGTGATTTGAGCCAAAATCCCACAAATTAAAAACCTGCATCCAAATGACCCCTAGATAGCAAAATGATTAAGCTCATCTTGTTGGTTTGGGCTGTAATAAATGAGTGGAGGAGCTATCATGCATTTAATCTCGATTTAACTATTTAGTGGAAGCTCGTAAGGATAGAAACATAGTACCCTAGCACGCGATTCGATTAGAAAAATCTTCCATCAGAGAGGTTAAATCGATAAACGATATTTAGCGGTATGAAGTGGTTGAACCACGATTAAACCAAAATTTTAGTACAAAATATTTTACCGTTGACTATTCCTATAGAATTTCCGGTACATATTTCAATCCTTGCTCATAAGTAAAATGAGACCTTATTTAATGATAACAAAAATTAACATTGGAGACTTGATTGGAAATTGTAAGAAAATGTGGGGACTGGCACAAACAAAACTACAAAAGGATAAGAGTAAGACACTTCAACAGAAAAATTCCCATGAGTTTTATACTTTTATTTATTTCCTTTTCCTTCCGGCGGTGGCCGTACTCAGGCAGCACTCATCATCAGTCGTCGATCGTCATTCGTCGTCTCGTCCGGCAGATGAAAGAGGGAAAGAGGCCACTAGAGATGTCAACCACGACGCGGCTGATCTTCGATGATCTTCTCTGGATAATTGTTCTCTCCGGAACCCTAGCTTTCATCCAGGTACGCCGCCCAGCCATGTTCCCTCCTCTCCATTTCTTCGATTAGCGCGAGAAGTAGACGTATGGGTTAGGTTAAAAATGGAGAACTGAGCTACGAATTACACGAAACCTCAGCTCAATTCTGCTTCATATTGACTATCGCTTTCCCTGCAACCGGCAGCATCGATTAAGCGACCCTGGAATTTCATTGGAGTCCATCAACGCCCAGCAAGCTCGGAGACGTATGGATTTTTCCTTTGGCCATTACGCTTCTCTGCACATCGCAAAGTCATGCTGCTTGCTAAAAGTGCGGGAAATTTTCGCGTGTTTGGAGTAGGGGAAGAAATTGGGAGGGGTTTGGAGGAAGAAGTGACTCACAAGTCTACTTCGATGTTGAAATCGGCGGGGAAGCTGCGGGTAAAAAGGTTGCTCCTTCTGATTTCTGATTCCAGATCAAACACTATCCAGGGAATTTGGATTTTCAGGTAATAAGATCGCTAACTGCACTTAGACCCATTTCAATCTCAGGTCGCATTGTGATGGGTTTATTTGGGAAGACTGTCCCAAAGACTGCAGGTAAGAGCTGAAGATCAATGAAACACAATGCAGCATTTCTTACTGTTCTTGGAAACTTGTGAATGGATGATGGATATCTTACTGTTATGAGTTTGTTGCAGAGAATTTTCAAGCACTGTTCACTAGTAGCCAAGTAACTCTTTCTCCCCCCTCTCTGCTTGAGGTCTCAAACCTTTTTTTTTTAGTTGTGCAGTTGTTCTTGTATTTACCATAACCCAATTGCAGGAGGGAAAGGGAAAAGTAGGGAGCCTCTGAGCTACAAGGGGAGCACATTCCATAGGATCATACCTCAGTTCGTGATCCAAGGAGGGCATTTCACACGTGGTGATGGACGCAGTGGAGAATCAATCTATGGCGAGAAGTTTGAGGACGAGAGATTCAAGCTGAAGCACACTGGTCCAGGTAAATCTACTATTAGCAATTCATGGTTTTATCTTTTAGAGTTTCTGCGATCTTAGTGCAATTGGGACTTAACTAAACCCTGAGTAATCTTACTCACAAAAACAGGAGTGATATAGATGGAAAATTCTCGTAAATTTCAGTCTTTCGTTTTGGTAGCCAAATCGTTGCAGCTTATCAACTCACATATTTTCCCCTCTTCTCTCTGGAATGGGAAAGGCTGGAGGTGCATCATGTGGTGTTTGGGAAGGTGCTTTCTGGGATGGACATTGTTCACAAGATCGAAGGCCAAAGCAGTGGTGTCCAGGAAAGCAAGATCATCATTGTAGACAACGGGGAAATGCATATGTAAGTGTAAAACAAGTATTCTCTCTCTCTCTCTCTCTCTTTTATCCTTCCCCTTCCACAGCCTGAAGAACAGGTGCCTTCCTATTTCGCACACAACCTGTTGTAACTTGGTATGCCTATATGCCGCTAGCAAGTAGGCTGGCTATTTGGACCGGGACCGGATGAAAAACCGGAAACCGGACCGTATAACCCGGACCGAGACCGGATCGGGACCGGATAGTAAACAATCCAATCCAATCTTTGGGTTTAGATTTGAGGTAAAAAACCGGATAAAGACCGGATAAGAGAGCTCAACACCCAAAACTTAAGGGTAATTTGCATAAACGGTCACAAACCTTTACACTTAGTACAAAACTTAACCAACTCCTCACCCTTTTAGGCCTTAGGCCACTCAAATTCCCACAATCTCAATATAAAATCAAGACCGAATTGGGACCGGACCGGGTCAAGACCGGACTGTATCCAATCCAATCTTCGGTCCTTATATTCTAAAAAAAACTCGGACTGGACCGGATCAATTTGAGCCAATTTAACCGGACCGGACCGTATAGCCACCCCTACTAGCAAGGGCCAAGGAACATTGTCACACCCTCCCCACTTGAGGTACTTGTTACGCATGCATGCTTTGTGGTTTAAAGAGCAAATCAAATTTAGATGGTGCGCTCAATGAGTTGGCAAAGTTGAATAGAAATAGGAAGGGTATAGGAGGCTCTTAAGTACGTTGTATCAAATAAAATACCATGATATGATTTGGTGGAGAATTTGGTAAATTTATTGACATGGAAAGAATCACATTCCCTGTCTTACCGCTACCCTCCATTTATCACCACACTGAACCGAAAATGGGAAGGAGTGCCTCTCATGTCACCACCTCACACCCTTGGAAATAGTTCCACCTGCTCACCTCCATGCAAAGCCTACACGTAGTAACTCTTCCCACCTTATAAGTAAAACAAGATAAGGGAAGGATGTAAGTTATCCCCACCCTCCCTTCTTGCTCCTGCAACCGGTGGGATAAAGATGTCCAGAAACTAAGTAGCTCCCAATAACCTTAAGCCGTAAATGTTGATCCTTTATTCCAGTGATCACTCTCATAGGTAGAGGGGAATTCTAAGTACTAAGGTTAGCGAGGGGGATGCCTATTGCTTCAGGTATGTACCAACCCTTCTTATCTTTATTAACTTAGTTTAAGGTTACAGGTGATACTTTGCATGATCCGGGTAGCTATATAGGGAGGGTGTACTGGGTTAGTTGATTGCCGAGTTTGTGATGGGGGATTTAGTCCAAAAATCTTACATGTAAATGCTAAATGGTTTATTGTTAGTGAGATTCCGGTCTCGGCCTTATACGAAATAGTGCATGTGGGTGGAGTTAATCTCTTCATTGAGAAAGAAAAGGAACTGCTAATAATGATAATGGGTGTGAATTATACACTTCCGGACAGTATACATATATATACATGCATACAACAAAGGTTATGTGAGTATGTGTATAAAGGAGGCAGAGAGGATTTTGGTTATGATTAATTAGCTGTGGCTTGTTCAAATTGGACGTGTCAACAGGGGGATCTTGTGAGCTGGGTATATAAATAAGAAGATGATAATTAGTTAACAATTAGATAATAGTTTCAGGGAGGGTTGTAAACGTCCAGCTTAATTATGTGCGGATTCTTAAGTGGTTTGTGTGTTGGGAATTAGAAGTACTCGGTTTGTGTGTGATTTAGTGTTGTGAAAGGATTTAACGTGTACCGGAGGTCAAAGAATCATCTCATGTGAGATATGAGTACACTTTTGATATATATATATATATATATATATATATATATATATATATATATATATATATATATATATATATATAATTGTTATCTTAATCGTGATTAAGGAAAACCATGAGCTCTTGTACTGAATCTTTTATGCATCACTTTCAAAGGAAAAGCGGAAATCGGGGAATCATTGAAGCAAAACGGAATAGCTTAATAGCAAGTTTATGGTGAGTAAATTCTAACCTAATGTTTATCTTAATATGATTATGGTATTCGGGTCATGAAGCGACCCGAGTACGAGGTATATGATAACTTGGTAAGATTTAAATCGATAGTGATTGAAGTTTGCTATGTGGCATGGTTACATGATTGAATGATGATGAAGTGATTGAATGATCCTATAATTGGATGATGTTACCATATAGTGGTAATTGTATGATAATGCGACGATATGATGAAATGATCGTATGATGGTATGACGAGAAGGTCATAATACATGTTGTTATGTGTGTGCTAAATGATATTATGTGATGAGTATATGATATGTGAAATGTCATTTGAGGCGGTCAAGTGAAAAGAATGGCAAGAAAAGTTGCCTTTTGTCAATTATACGAGATGAGATAAAAGGGCCTATGAGTCATGCAAGTGAATGTGATATGAAATGGCCCTTGGGTCACACAAGTGATATGTTGAGTTGTGACTAACTATAAGAATTGCATGGTCACCTAAAGCAAACGTAATGGCGCCCTGTCATGCACTCAGTATAAGTGAAAAGAGGCTTCAAGCCTAAGAGATAAAAGAGCTATACGAGAACTCCTTTTAAGGAGTAATGCCAGGCCTGGCTACGAGTTTTACGAGATATGGCACTCTGTGCACCACGAGTTTACGAGTTCATGAGATATGGCACTTTGTGCCCACGAGTTTATGAGATTTGGCACTTTGTGCCTATGAGATTACGAGATCACGAGATTACGAGTTCACGAGATCCCGGGGAGTGCATGACTTGGCAAATTAAAGAATAAAAGCTACTGAATCCAGCTAACTATATGTATGTGTATGATTGGATGCTGATTCATTGTTGATTTTGGATGCAACATGAGTATGTGAATGCCAAGCTTGATATTTGTCATCTTTGTGTGATATATGATTGAGATGGCAATCTTAGTATTTGCCATATTTGAGGTATAGAATGTGAACCCTTACATGTGGTACGTGACTGAAGGTTGATGTGTTTTATATGTCATATCAAGTGATATGAGGTACAGGTTCTGATGATCTCATATGATGAGTAGTACAACGATTGATCAGGAAACTGTGACATAAGTAGTAATGATATACTAATTTCATTATGGTAGTGCCATGAGATATCGACGTGTATAAGGTTATGAGTCTACAATACATCCCTTGATGTTGTACGTGTTGATAGAAGTGTAAAATATGAAGGAAACTTTTGTATGGAATATAAGAATAAATACAAACCATATGCAACACCAGGTAGGGTAAAGTAAAGGAGAAACCTTAAACTAAGGATATATGGCATATAGCAATGACCCATAACGTATATGTGATAGATCAAGTGAACGAGGGAAGAAATTTCGTATGAATCTGCATAGGTGAGACCTAAGTAAAGTTATTAAGTGATAAAGATATACATCGAGTATAATGGACGGAAGACACTCCGAGTCACAACATAGCCTGATACTATTTTCGTATTAATATTTATATTAGGTTATTATTTACTCATTGAGTGACGTCTCACCCCCGTCAATATTTTTCCCAGATGAATAGCTAAAATGGATGAAGGCCATGGGACTAAGCAAGTTAGAGTTTGACATCGATGAGGTGTGCGGAAGGCTGAACTCTCCACAATGTTTTCTATGGGAAATTTGAAGATGGGGTTTTCCAAGAAAAAAAAAAATGAACCAAGAGTTTGAGGATTTTGGTAAATAGTTGACTATGTGCATACATTTTTATGGGTTTTAAATGGAGAAAAGCAATCGGGTGTTACATTTTTGGTATCAGAGCTGGGATATGATCCCACGGGATACCTCCGGGTTTTATAAAGTAGTCTTGCATAGTTTTAAAGAGATTTTCATGGTTTTAAATCTAGTTTTTCATTACGAGTCAAAAATGGATCCGGATCCAAATCGATTTGGTTATTTAGTCCATGTGGAGTTCAGTCAATGAGAAGCAAGAGAAGTTTTCCCGCCACCTCAACCCGAAGAGTTACAAAGATATCGGGTTATGTCAAGCTGCGTCCCAGGTCTAAGTATGGGCGTGATAGTATTAAGTATGAAAGTGAATATAGGATTATACTCGTACACTTATATATTTATATGGTCAGTGATTAAGCGAAGAAGAAGGATAACAGGATGTTTGTGCGGGGATAAGAAATTATAGTGCGAGGATGATATTAAGACGACATGATGGCATAGTGGGATGATTGATTATATAGTGGTTTATAATGTGATACAGTAGAATGACTTTATGATAGCGTGGTTCTATGTATGATATGATATGGGAACGAGTAGATGGTGATTGGGTGAAAAAGGGAACCATGATAATTCCTAATGGGCAACCCTACTATTAAGAGAAGTTTTGTGTGATAATTCATATGAGTACTAAGATGACATAGTTGATGGTCTATTGCAGGATATAAGATCTAGATGAATGTTAAATGATTAAATAGAACCATTAAGCCAAGTATGTTTATGCTGATCGGGGAAGAATGGGAGTGTAATTCAAGTAGGGTGAATGAAAATTGAGTTAAGGATAGTGATACTTGGACCAATATTTATTCACTTCGTATATAATAGGACAATAAAATAGGAAAGAAAAATTACATAGAAGAAAACATTTATATGTTTTCTTGATATAAGAAACATACGGTATAGTAGTAGGCACTCTTATTAAACAAGAAATTACTAGAATCATAAAAGCTAAATCGCAAAAAGAGAATATGAGTAGATTACTGACGATCCAAGTTGTACTGACGGTGTAGACGCACTAGGAAAATTTGACGCTCGCACTCTATCTTCTGAATATGCCTCTTCCAACGGATAAAGTTCCATAGACCACACAGAAGTAACACGATTTTTAAATTTAACTTCTCGAATGATGGAGTCGGGATCATCCATAAGTTGAAGAAGGAAATGAGTGATACTGAAATCTTAAATTTAAGACAAAGAAGTACAATTAGCAATACAAGGATTACTGATTCGAATGTGAACCAAGAAGAGTGAATTGGGATGAGTAAGAGATGTAGAAGTTAAGCTTGTGGAAGAGGGAAAGTTAGATGATTGATAATGGTTGGGGTTTACGATCAAGCTATGAAAATATAGGAAACAAGAGGAATAGAGTTTGGGATCTTCGAGCTAGAAGTTTGAGCGATGAAAAGAAGAGTGATGTATATAAAGAAAACTCATTGGGTAGATAAAGACAAACATAGAGAATGTGAGTGGAGCAGCAAGTCATCAAATGACGCACGCGTAATGAATAACAAGAAGAAGGAAAGAAAGAAAAGATATTGTAGAATCTAATCAATTAAGGCATGGAATAAATTAGCACGATATGTTGTCTTAGCGCTATAAAGAGATTGTCGGGAATAAATCAATGGTGAGTGATACATCTTGTCAGGGATAAGAAAATCCTTACGATTTGTGATGATTTTTGTTTATTCTCTTACCTTTAGGTAACCTAAATCATGTAAGAAGTCCAACCCTAGTCATAACATGAAAAATTGTATGGTGATTAGCTTGACAAAGCTTTGGGCCAAACCAGTTTTGAAAAGAGTTACAATGTTTTATGAAGCATAGAATTGTTAAATGTCTTACTGACTGAAAATGTTGATCATGAGATAAAGGTATTCATGAAATTATAATTGTATCGTTAAATATCTCTAGATAATGTTAAGGGACGTCAAAGATGCTGATTGAAAAGTTAGAGCACTTAAGCCTGAAGTAAGAAACCAAAATCATGTGATTTTGCTTTGAAATGGAGTTCTGTGTCGGCATAGCTTGATTATCTATTTATTATGAAGTAGCGTATGAACTTTACAAGTCAAATTATCGAAAGTGGAAACCATTATTCTTAGAAAGAGGAGCCCAAGTAGCAGACGAGAGTAGCTTTATGGATAAAGTTCTTCACATAAATGGAAAAGATGTGATATTGATCTTGAGTAGTTGTGCAGAGAAGTCTGGCAAGAGTAATATGAATTTATGTATACAAAGAAGTTAAATGGAGAAATTTGTAGCTTGACTTACGGACACTAACTAATGGAGTGAGATTTTGTATATCGAATGAAACTATCTTCTAACACAGGTGAAGTAGATTTCAAAGAAAAGGGATTCAAGAATTCACCTCCAGGAGCTTGAAAAGTCATTAGGAAACATTGAGTGATGAACGAGATTTCATTATTGATCTTTTTCTTAAGAAATAATGGACAATATAATCTAATATTTTATATCAAGAAGACGGGTATGCTAAGGCCCTGTGTGACAACTGATAAGTCTTAATATGCAATCCTTACCATTAATAGAAGTTATGTTATAATTTGTACGAGTACCTAATGATAGCAATCCGCGATTCTTGTGCATGAAAAGGAATATATAATTCAAGTGAAAACCAAAATGGGATTTAAATTTACGGTTAGTACATACGTGGTAAAGCTTGAGGCATCCTAGAGACATGGGTCTCCTAATATAAAGTAACACCGTGGAGGGGAATCTTTTGATTTCGAGAGAAGGGCAAGCTAAGTCCTAGCTACATTGGGTATGAAATATTGTAGAAGATACGTTCGGTAGCTTATAAATTAGCCTTACCCCTAGAACTGGCTCAAGTACATAATGTATTTCATGTAAGTGCACTCCGTAGGTACCGATCAAACCCCTCCCGGGTGATAGAACCTGAACAGGTTGAGATACAAGAAGATTTAAGCTATAAAGGGGAGTCGCGGGAGGTTGTCGATTGAAAACTCAAGCTACTCCTAAATCTTAGTATACCGATGGTCAAAGTAATTTGGAGAAACCACTCGAGAGAAGACGCTACGTGGGTAACGGAGGAGAACATGAAAGCTCAGTATACGGAATTGTTCCAAGCAAATTTCGGGGACGAAATTTATTTTTAGAGGGGTGGAATTGTCACACCCTCCCCACTTGAGGTACTTGTTACGCATGCATGCTTTGTGGTTTAAAGAGCAAATCAAATTTAGATGGTGCGCTCAATGAGTTGGCAAAGTTGAATAGAAATAGGAAGGGTATAGGAGGCTCTTAAGTACGTTGTATCAAATAAAATACCATGATATGATTTGGTGGAGAATTTGGTAAATTTATTGACATGGAAAGAATCACATTCCCTGTCTTACCGCTACCCTCCATTTATCACCACACTGAACCGAAAATGGGAAGGAGTGCCTCTCATGTCACCACCTCACACCCTTGGAAATAGTTCCACCTGCTCACCTCCATGCAAAGCCTACACGTAGTAACTCTTCCCACCTTATAAGTAAAACAAGATAAGGGAAGGATGTAAGTTATCCCCACCCTCCCTTCTTGCTCCTGCAACCGGTGGGATAAAGATGTCCAGAAACTAAGTAGCTCCCAATAACCTTAAGCCGTAAATGTTGATCCTTTATTCCAGTGATCACTCTCATAGGTAGAGGGGAATTCTAAGTACTAAGGTTAGCGAGGGGGATGCCTATTGCTTCAGGTATGTACCAACCCTTCTTATCTTTATTAACTTAGTTTAAGGTTACAGGTGATACTTTGCATGATCCGGGTAGCTATATAGGGAGGGTGTACTGGGTTAGTTGATTGCCGAGTTTGTGATGGGGGATTTAGTCCAAAAATCTTACATGTAAATGCTAAATGGTTTATTGTTAGTGAGATTCCGGTCTCGGCCTTATACGAAATAGTGCATGTGGGTGGAGTTAATCTCTTCATTGAGAAAGAAAAGGAACTGCTAATAATGATAATGGGTGTGAATTATACACTTCCGGACAGTATACATATATATACATGCATACAACAAAGGTTATGTGAGTATGTGTATAAAGGAGGCAGAGAGGATTTTGGTTATGATTAATTAGCTGTGGCTTGTTCAAATTGGACGTGTCAACAGGGGGATCTTGTGAGCTGGGTATATAAATAAGAAGATGATAATTAGTTAACAATTAGATAATAGTTTCAGGGAGGGTTGTAAACGTCCAGCTTAATTATGTGCGGATTCTTAAGTGGTTTGTGTGTTGGGAATTAGAAGTACTCGGTTTGTGTGTGATTTAGTGTTGTGAAAGGATTTAACGTGTACCGGAGGTCAAAGAATCATCTCATGTGAGATATGAGTACACTTTTGATATATATATATATATATATATATATATATATATATATATATATATATATATATATATATAATTGTTATCTTAATCGTGATTAAGGAAAACCATGAGCTCTTGTACTGAATCTTTTATGCATCACTTTCAAAGGAAAAGCGGAAATCGGGGAATCATTGAAGCAAAACGGAATAGCTTAATAGCAAGTTTATGGTGAGTAAATTCTAACCTAATGTTTATCTTAATATGATTATGGTATTCGGGTCATGAAGCGACCCGAGTACGAGGTATATGATAACTTGGTAAGATTTAAATCGATAGTGATTGAAGTTTGCTATGTGGCATGGTTACATGATTGAATGATGATGAAGTGATTGAATGATCCTATAATTGGATGATGTTACCATATAGTGGTAATTGTATGATAATGCGACGATATGATGAAATGATCGTATGATGGTATGACGAGAAGGTCATAATACATGTTGTTATGTGTGTGCTAAATGATATTATGTGATGAGTATATGATATGTGAAATGTCATTTGAGGCGGTCAAGTGAAAAGAATGGCAAGAAAAGTTGCCTTTTGTCAATTATACGAGATGAGATAAAAGGGCCTATGAGTCATGCAAGTGAATGTGATATGAAATGGCCCTTGGGTCACACAAGTGATATGTTGAGTTGTGACTAACTATAAGAATTGCATGGTCACCTAAAGCAAACGTAATGGCGCCCTGTCATGCACTCAGTATAAGTGAAAAGAGGCTTCAAGCCTAAGAGATAAAAGAGCTATACGAGAACTCCTTTTAAGGAGTAATGCCAGGCCTGGCTACGAGTTTTACGAGATATGGCACTCTGTGCACCACGAGTTTACGAGTTCATGAGATATGGCACTTTGTGCCCACGAGTTTATGAGATTTGGCACTTTGTGCCTATGAGATTACGAGATCACGAGATTACGAGTTCACGAGATCCCGGGGAGTGCATGACTTGGCAAATTAAAGAATAAAAGCTACTGAATCCAGCTAACTATATGTATGTGTATGATTGGATGCTGATTCATTGTTGATTTTGGATGCAACATGAGTATGTGAATGCCAAGCTTGATATTTGTCATCTTTGTGTGATATATGATTGAGATGGCAATCTTAGTATTTGCCATATTTGAGGTATAGAATGTGAACCCTTACATGTGGTACGTGACTGAAGGTTGATGTGTTTTATATGTCATATCAAGTGATATGAGGTACAGGTTCTGATGATCTCATATGATGAGTAGTACAACGATTGATCAGGAAACTGTGACATAAGTAGTAATGATATACTAATTTCATTATGGTAGTGCCATGAGATATCGACGTGTATAAGGTTATGAGTCTACAATACATCCCTTGATGTTGTACGTGTTGATAGAAGTGTAAAATATGAAGGAAACTTTTGTATGGAATATAAGAATAAATACAAACCATATGCAACACCAGGTAGGGTAAAGTAAAGGAGAAACCTTAAACTAAGGATATATGGCATATAGCAATGACCCATAACGTATATGTGATAGATCAAGTGAACGAGGGAAGAAATTTCGTATGAATCTGCATAGGTGAGACCTAAGTAAAGTTATTAAGTGATAAAGATATACATCGAGTATAATGGACGGAAGACACTCCGAGTCACAACATAGCCTGATACTATTTTCGTATTAATATTTATATTAGGTTATTATTTACTCATTGAGTGACGTCTCACCCCCGTCAATATTTTTCCCAGATGAATAGCTAAAATGGATGAAGGCCATGGGACTAAGCAAGTTAGAGTTTGACATCGATGAGGTGTGCGGAAGGCTGAACTCTCCACAATGTTTTCTATGGGAAATTTGAAGATGGGGTTTTCCAAGAAAAAAAAAATGAACCAAGAGTTTGAGGATTTTGGTAAATAGTTGACTATGTGCATACATTTTTATGGGTTTTAAATGGAGAAAAGCAATCGGGTGTTACAAACATTGTTACCTCTGCGGCCTTCTGTCGCAATTCGCCTATTTATACACTTGTGTTTTGAACTCACCTTAGTGAACTGTGACTGGACATCCCTATATCTATATGCCCATAGTATGAAACATTAGCAATACTCTGCGGCCTTGACTCAATTCGCCTATTGAGTCGAATGTTTGTGATTCGCGTGAGAGGCGAAAGCATTATAGCTGCTCTTCCTGTTCTTTTCTTGTGTATGTTGGGAATCGCGTGAGACCCCTAGACCCTCTAAACACACCTAAGAAGAGCAGAAACACGAGAGATAGTGAATTCATAGAGCTCCGGTTTTTCGCACAAAACCGATGAGCAACAAATCAGAATGGCTGTTTTATCCTGGAGGCGACCGGCTGATAATCTGCTGTGCGCAATACGAGGCAGTGCCGCGAACGTCTTAAAGAGAGCGACCTAATCCGCGACTCAGCCAGATCGGTAACCCTGATTTTTCCTGTTCGATTTCTAACAGTGTATCGCGTGCACCACAGTCATCTAAGTCTCGATCGAATAGCTGAGAACGCGTATTAACAGCCCTATTCATTTGCCCCTGCAAAGAGTATAGCCAAATTCCCCTGTTCTACTCGTTCCCTAATCAGGAAAAATAAGCAAGAAACAGCACAAACAAGCAGAGACCCGCAACTTTTAACAAGTCAAGAAGCTTCTTGCATTATTCATTCCACTCGGTTGACTTACTAAAGCAAAGACATCGACAGTAGCTTTGTTTATTCGGCTCAGGCCTTGTTGCCTCCGTCACGGCGGCCGTCAGCATCCTTGCCGTTCCGGTGATGGTAAGAGGAGACGAAGTTGGAGGAGAGGTCGGAGTAGAGGGACGAAACCGTGGAGATGTTGTGGTTGATCTCCTGGATCAACGGCACGTTCTTGGCCATGTTGTCGGGGATTCGAGACTGGTGATTGTCGTTCACCTGCTGAATCAACGACCTGTTCCTGTCCAGCACCGTCTGCACTTTCCGAAATGTCCCGCTGAAATTCGCCCACATCTCCCCGTCTATTTCTTCTTCTTCTCCGCCGCGGCGATCGCGGCCATGGTTCCTGTTACCGTCGGCCATGCTGGATTCGGGCGGCGGAGCGGTGATCTAGCGCGGCGGTGGTTATGAGATGAGATGAGGAAGGAGAAGGCCGTGTGTGGGGAAGTTTACGGGGATTCGCGATTTTTGTAATGGGAAAAAGAGAGAGAAGGAATCACCGTGGGGAGAAAAGAGCTGACGCGAGGGAGGAGAGGTTAGTGAAGGGAGGAGAAACGGTGGACCAAGTGGTGACGGCACGCGCTAGCGTTGCGAGTAGGGGGAAGGGAAGTGGATAAAATATCTTAGGCTGATTACGGATTGGAAGAAAGATCGCAAAAGTGCGGGTAGTATCTTACGCTTTTTGACACTTTTTCGAGACTTTTTGACACTTGGAATGTTTTAGATATTTTGCGCAAGGAAATATCTAGCATAGTACAAAGATGGGCCGGCCCAAGTCCAATTCCTCTACGGCCCACGGACATAATTGCTTGGGCCTACATCGTCTAGTAGAGCTAGCTGTTCTTGGCCCAATAATAGACACTAAGAAACCTCCGCTCAGGACATTTATTCATCTGTTTCTGATTGAATGTATTACAAATACACACTGAAAGGGATCATAAACAATTGAGATGTAAATTACTGCTATTGTTTCGTCAAGAATCTAGCAGGTGTGTATGGAGATTGGAGCTCACCTGCCTGCAGTTTCGACACTGTCAGGCCTTGCCATTTCTTTACCGACAAGGAATTCAGGATCGTCTAGAGTTTTGGACAAGCTTTCTTTCTACTCGGCTGGTTTTCTTTTCCTTCCAAGAATTGAAGCTCTCTGCAATCTAGGACCGCCCATTCTCCATTTCCTAAAGGCTGCCATGGAGGATTGAGCTGCTTCATACACTATTATCCAATGGGGGCAAAAGGCAGAAGAGCAAAGATGTCAACTTCTTTCAGAACAGTAGGAATGGAAAGGGACGATTGGAAAGCTGAGTTTTAGAGACAGAATCTCACAATTGGTTTCTTCTTTGGTTAGAAAGGTCATGATTTTGGATGCTGCTGCAAATGCTTTTGTGTGTGCCTTGTACAGAACCTCCTTGTACCGGGCTTTGAACGCGTATGAGACCAATAGTCCAATGCTCTTGTCGCAACTGTGTGGCACATACAAGTAGGCAAGTAAAGGGTTAGTGATATACATTGTGATGCAAGGCTCGTTAATTCTTTGGATCTTTGGAGATAAGATACTTCCAAGTTAGGGAAAATGATATAATTTCTCTGATCAAAGCATATTTTTTTTATATTTAAGGTGACAATAAAAGATCAAACACCTTCACATTGTTTTAGTAGTCTAGTATACAAGCAAATGAGCAGAACAATCATAAAAGCCAAACTATGGACAGTAAATTATTTCAGGAGTGCACTAAGGCAATGGCAACAGTGCTTGTTTCGCTAAACTGAGTGCAGTAATCATGCTAGAAGAAAAAGGATGTGCTGAAAGGGTAAGTGCCTCTTTGGCAGCACCAGATTCAAAATGAATGTAGTATACACAGAAATTCAGGGTTATGGTAATGTGGAGGAACTTACTATGGTGCTACTTTACATCCAAACTCATAGAAGTATGAGCAGCGAGATCTTAAGTCAACAGATCCAGCATCAGCCTCAATTTCTAACCTAGTACTGCAAAAAAACAGATCGGTTAGATGGAGAAATGAACTACACAACTAGTAAACAAGCTATCAAGCTATGCACGTAAGATTGACACCTAAATCAGGTTAGTTCCAACAACTGTGGACTAAACTATCAGGTAAAAACTTCACAAATTGGACTTTGAATGATTTTTCAGATCAAATTCCTTCTCCAACTGAGAATATATTGTGATAATAGGGGCAATGTAAAGAAATCAAGCAAGAGAGTGAAAGCCATTACTTTCTATTGAAACAAGCAGGAACTTTGATTGATATGGCTTGTTGCAAGTGCAAACCCCGCGCAAGCCAAAATGGCAGCTCTGCCTTTGAATCTTGTTCAACCTGAGAATAGCATATCACCAAAGACTAACATGAGCACGCATCTTATTTTCCTCCCTCCGTTTAACATAACATTTTCCCCACACCATGGCAGAACTTACAAAGCCTCTTTCTGAACTTTCATCAATTTTCACCCCATTCACTGCCTTGTGGAATTGAACTGGCACAAACTGCAATCAACATCATAAAAACGAGAACTAGCAGCACTACAGGAATACAAGTTACACGTACACAGTTCACAGAGTTCTCACATCTTCTTCGGCAAGAATGTCATCAATGTCATAGTAATCCCCCATTTGTGTCTACTCTTTCTCCCCTGGGGAGTCTCAGACTATCCAGCAAGCCACTTCTTCACGCCTTTGAGATTGCAGAATCACGATGCGAAAACAGACAACTGAATATTACAGCATCTCAGGGTTAGAATAAACCCACCTCCGCACCCCGAACTCTAAAGCAAAGAGATTCCAATACCCAGAACCCAGAACTCGCTTTGTTTCCTTCCGCAGCAAAATAGTGAGTTCCCAGTTCCAAGCGTTTGATACTGAGCCAAATCAAACAGAACTTGGGAGAAGAAACTCTAGTTCAGTCTCAGCAGCAGCCTGAAATTCATCGAGAAGGAGAACAATTCAGAACGGGGTAAAGCTATTAAAGCACGAGGCGGCAACTAAGAACGAGAAAATGGATCCGGAGCATCCAAGTAGGCACTCGGAGAGAGAACCCTAGAGTGGGAGGAAAAAACGGAATTGAAACACAAACTCCCAGATAGAAATCCAGATTTGAATTTAGGAACCGAAGCACAAGTTCCGCTGGCGGGAAAATTCCCCTCAAATTAAAGAAGAAGGTGCGATCTCACCTGTGGAAATTTTCTCGACAGCGATTTGACTGGTCGGATTCTGCCCAATTTGTGAAAGTGTGGCCGTGAATATGCAAAAATGGAGAGGAGCGTGGGAATTGTCGAGAAGGGGGAAAGAAAGAAAAAGGAGGGAAACTCAAAATTATTGAAATCGGGGATTTCGCTCCTCTGCGGCTAATACGTAGTGTAATTGTGCACCCTCATTAATCGTCGTTGAAATTCTTAATCGCTCGGGTGCTAGGTACAAATGAAAGTGTGACGTCGTTACCGTAGGAGAACGAGAACTGGTCTCAATGTTGGTAATTATCAAAAAGGAACACATAGCTTTGAAGCATTTACCAAATAGTCACATATCTTTTATATTTCCTAAAATGATATCATAACTTTGAGATTTGTAACAAAATGATTACTTTCCATCCGAAATTTTGTGCAGTTTGCATTATCAGCCTTTCATGTCACCCAAACAATTAATAGAAAACTATTGAAACCAATCTTAGCATTTAACCAATCCGTTGGAGCTATTGACAATTCTTATTATGAGAAAAAAATGCACACTCGATCACTTATTTTTTCGGGTTTCCCTTTTGAGATCATACATCAATCCTTTAGAACTTATTGGATTGGTTACATTGTCTACTTCTATTAATTTGAAAAGTTTAGCCGGTTACAAATTTGATAGAGATCACTATTTTGTTCTAATTCGTGTCAACTGTCATCGTTAATTCTCCTCGGCGATCATCATGCCTCTCTGGACATCGGATGGAAAGTTGGACATAAACTACTTAACTGAAAAATATGGATAGTAGAAAGGGCTAATACCACTAGGAAACCCGAACTATTAACTTTGTGTCATTTGTGTCCTAAAGTATTCGATACGACATTTGTGTCCCAACCTATGATAATTGTGTGTCATTTATATCCTGACTATTTTGTTGACCGTTATATATAACGGTTGACCAGACGGTGGTCAACTTGATGTTAACTTTTGCTGACATGGCAAATATGTGACAGCCACGTAGATGCCATGTCATTGACACCTCATATTTTTAATTTAAAATTAAATAAATAATAAAATTTAAAAAATTAACAATTAAAAAAATATATATATATAAACTCAACCATAAACCCCCGCTGTACCCATAAATCAAAGCTAAAAGTAAAAATAAACCAAAGCAAAACTAAAAAAATATAAACTCACCCATAAATCCCCGCCGTTGTAGCCCATAAATCAAAACTAAAAATAAACCTAAAGCAATTGAAAATCCCCACCGCCGCTGTAGCCCATGAATCCCGCCGCCGCTGTCCATTAATCCCCGCCGCGAATGGCGGCAATCGAACAATAATCCGGCTTAGGGGCTTGCCTTTCCCCCGCAGACATCGCTGCCCAACTCCCCACTAAGAACCCAGAAGCCCTCGACATGCTCGGCCGCATCTACAGCCTCCTCGCTTCCTACTCTGTCTCCGTCTCCAACCCTCGAAGCCCAACGTCGCCATCATCAGAGTCCGCGGCACAGACCAGAGTCGCCGTCATCTCCGCCAGTGAGACGTCGCGCTCTACGAGGAAGTATGAGTATCTCGCCGGAGGAGGTGTCGATTTGGGAGAGTCCACTGCTCGAAGACGACAGAAGTTGCCAGGGAAGCAGTCCGCTGGGAGGGCGGAGGTTAGTGAGGAGGCTGCTGCTGGGTATGTGGTCACGAGCGTTGATGGTCAAATGGTTGAATTGATGTGCCTTCCTCTTGTTTGGGCCGCCGACGAGATCGAGAGCAGATAGAAGTAGTAGTACTAGAGAGGAGAGGTGCGGGTTAGGGGTGGGGTTGGGTAGAGAAATTAGGGGTTTTTATATTTAATTTGTCTTTTAAGTGACGTGAAAAAAAAATTTAATTTAAAATTCCACGTCAAATGCCACATCAGCGCTGACTAAAGTTTCTGTTAAAAATTAACGGTCAACGCCAGTCAACTATAACGGAAAAATAGTTTGGGATACAAATGTCGTATCGAATACTTTAGGACACAAATGACACAAAGTTAATAGTTCGGGTTTCCTAGTGGTATTAGCCCTAGTAGAAACTAGAAACACCATGAGTCCAAGCCTTCCATTCATGGGTATGCTCGTAAACATCTCATATGCATAAACACCATTTAAACCTTCATTTAGTGACATCTTAGTAACTCTTACACGATACCTAATGAAGAAGAAACTAAAGCATAAAATAGCCCTTTATGTGATTACTTAACGAAATGTCTAATTTTGATGGAGAAAACGGCAAACTATCGGTTTTCACCAACATTCCCAACAACCCAATCCTACTAAAGCATTCCTATTTAAGAGACTTGACCATATTAATCAGAACTGACTCAGTTTGCCTTTCTTTGACCCTCTACAAAGTGGATGAGGATGATGATGCTGCTGCTGCTGTACAAATCGACTCCAGTTCTGCTGATCCCTTTGCAGAAGAAGTTGAGTTTTTCATCTGCATCGGCAATCAATCCCATCTTCTCTGCATCTAATACTTGAGCCTGCCTCTCTAGTTTTAGTCCCATTGACTCTCCCAGTGGAAGTTCCAAGTCGACGGATTTAGAGTCCTTTTCCCATCGGCAGCCACGAGATCGTATGGAGAATCCTCTGCGAATTCAACCGGCATGGATTTCCAGTGCAAAGAGGGGCTCCATTCTGTTGCTTCTCTCAGCACCTTCAGTATCTCCTTCACCACTATTTTGCTTCCTTCTGCGGATAAGTGAATCCCATCCCTGGTTAACAAAAGAGCAGCATGAAAGAAGGGTCATTTAACTGTTTGCAGCAACAATGTTTGCTCCATGGAAGATCAAGAAGGGATGGAATCAAGACCAGAACTTACGTGAAGCATGCAGTCTCCCAGTCGCTTATCGTTTGAAGTGCAGAGTAAAGATCAACAACCTTTATGTCCAGTTCCTTGCACAGCGTTATACATGCATCCGAGTACTTTTTGCAGAGTTCATTTGTCCTAACCAGCTCGCTGAAGTATGCACTGTGTACCAAAAGCAAAGTGGGGAGAATCGGATTTCATCTGCGAGTTATATGTTCAGCAAAAGCAATGCAATCTTGTGTAGTAAGCGGGTGATGATGATGATTTACCTTGCGTTGGAACGAACTCTAACCTCATCAACTGGAGGACAGCTGAGAAAAATTATGCGTAGCGTCTTTGAAAGGCTCTGGCATTTGACAAGGAAGTCTAATGAGCAAGCAATTTGGGTATAGAGGTGATGCTAGAAAATGGGATTGAAGGGAGAGGAAGGACCTTGAGATGAAGTGCGATCTTCTTCATGTTTTCTACATACTCAGGAAGTGGAACATGAGGGCCTAACCCAGAAGAGTGTGGACCCATCGAATCGTTCCCACCAAAATACACAATTACTAAAGATGGCTGCACACTAGCATCCTGCAAATTTGGACACAACCAACCCATTTCAGCATCAGCATCAGAGATTCACCAAACCATATCTACTGCTGTCCTAGAAAATGTACAGAGACAGAAATCTTAGTGACAAATTACGCAGGCTGGTTCTTGCCTACAATCAATTTTGGAAACCAAAAGCAAGCCTTGAGACAGATTTAATCTCTAACAAGTCACAGCTCAGAAGGGTCTCTTCTCTTCCTACGAATCATGACGTGAGAATTCGATCAGTACTATGATGAATTACCTTTGGGAAAATGTCATCGAGCACCTGAACAGCACGACGCGAGTTCCATCCGTAGTACCCTCGTAAGATCACATCTGCCTGCAAATTGCAAAACCATTTTCACACTCCAAAGTGAGGCCAAAAGGCACAAACAATCGCCCAACTGCAGAAACTAAGCAGTGAATGATGTTTTTATCAGGTTTCAATCTTGTTCCTTTCCTCACAGCAACAGATAGCACTAAAAGAAACTTTCAATAATCACCAAACAAATCTTGGATGCTCCAACTGCTATGGGGGCTCAAGATTTCGATTACCTTTCATACAGCAACTCCTAAGAAAGGGACTCATTTCAGAGCTAAATGTACGGAGAAAAGGGAAGGGGAAAACAACTAAACCGTTATGCCGATGCAGTATCGGTCTTGAATTAATAACAAGATGAAAATTCCCTAGGGAAGCCAGCGATGATTGAAGACTCCAGCGAGCTCGAATCGGCGCGGGTGGAATTTCGAGCAGAAAAAATGGAGTAAGAAGAAGCAGTCAAACAAACAAAAGGGCCGGGAAGAGAAACGAGAAAATTGCACCGGGTAACGGTGGAAACTCTGAAAAAGGAATGTAACAGAAAGGAGATAGTAGGGTGAAGTTACCCTGCGCGAGTAGATTTCGGAGAGAGAGGAACCCCAACCGCCATTGCCGAAGCTGAGCTGAACGATGGAGGAGCCGAAGAGAACGAACTGCGGCCTGGACGGTCCCACCATTCTTTCTTCCCTTTTCACTTCTTATTCTCGCCCGTCGGATATCGGATTTCCCTCCCTCTAAACCAATTTCCACCGTCTCGATTTCAATGGTTTCACTCTTCTGGTGTAGGAGTAGGAGGAGAAGAAGAAGGAAGAAGTGTCAGGCGTTAATGGCGTGGTGTATAAAATAAACCAGAGAGAGAGAGAGAGAGTCCGGAAAGAAAGGACAGAGCAGTGTTTTAATTTGTGGTTTTGCTATTTTCTGTCACTCCCCAAAAGAGCCATAGACAAGCTGCATTTACTCCTTCAGTCCTACTTCCTACTGATGCCATTACCAGCTAAGTTCCATGAAACCCCATTTGCTTTGCTCCTGCTAAGCTCCATAACCATTTCTGATAAAGACCAAATTGAAGACAACAATAAAACAAACCTCAAGTCTCAAGCTTTCATTACCAGCCAAAGGTTTCATGAATCCCCACATTCTCATATTGGATACATAAAAATAAAAAAAATGTGTTGTTTTCTTTTTTGTTGAAAGTGGATAATTTATCCTGAGTGTAATTATAAATGCACATACAAATTCAGTAATTACTTAGAGGTCGCAAATATTCGGAAATTCACCCTATGAAAATGGATCTTGCTTTTGTTTAACTTGGCCGTAATTTCAAGTCAATTTTATTCTTTTTTTTCTTTTTATCAAAGGCAAACCGAAAAGGTAGTAACACAAGATCTAGTTCACAAGATCGACAACAACTGAATATAAAGTAATTCGTATGTAATTGAATAGTTCATGGAAGAGCACGTTTTGCTATATAATTAACTAACTTTCTAAGACAAATAATAAACGAAGAAGAAGAAGAAAAGAAAAAAAATGAATTCCACATGCTATGCTTCATGAGAATGGGAACCGCACCTAACCAAAGTTTGGGGCAACGTTGAAGAGTGAAGAGGAAAATTAAAAGCTGTGATGGCCAACTACACAGAAAGTAAATGTCTTCCTTACCATTACAACAGTTTATAGGTGCAGGGCAAGTCTGTGTATTCAATTCGCATACAGAAGAAGATACAGTACGAGATATTTTTACCCCCTATATCTATATGAGCATTGACTATTTTTTTTTTATATGTATTTTCACAGCGGATGTTGAAACACTTTTTACTTTTTAGTATATGGTTTGATATTATAAATTTATAATATGGATATGTAGTTTTATATTCGGTGCACTTACATAATTGGTACATACAGTGGCGGATCCAGGAAATCTACGTAGGGGTGTCCTCTATAAAAAATTATATTAAATATTAGAATTAAATTAAATAATTATTAAATATGAAAATATCTAACTAATAAAGTTTCATTAAAAGTTCAGACGTGTTTCATCAAATGATAAAATGCATTCGGTGTTTATACTGCTCAACAAATATCTCTCGACATATCTTACTAGACTAGGATATCCCGTAATTGAGTTTAATCGTTAGGTTTTGAAAATAATTTGAGATAAGAATAATATTTTACTATTATATTTGGATCTAAAACACAATAACAATGAGTTGTAGCGTAATTGAAAATATATTAACTAATAGTGGCAGTGTCCCAAATTTAAATCACATAAACTACTACTTAAATATTATTTATACCAATACTCAAACTACTACGGGAGATTGGATAATCATTTTCCCAAATTTTAAAGGTGTCCCACTACCACTTAAATATTTTTTTTTCTCATACGCAAATTACTATCGTAGGTTGAATAATCGTGTTTCCAAATTTTAGGGGTGTCCCGGGACACCCCTAACCATGCATGTATCCGCCACTGGGTACATAGGGGCGGAACTATTGGCAAACAAGAGGGTTCCGCGACACTCGCTTGGATTTGGAGAAAAGCCCAAAAATTAATAATATTAATATGTTAATAATGATATTAATTCCTTAATTTCAATGTCAATTGTTAAATGTGGTATTATTAAACCACAACAAACTATATAAATTAATTTCATCTACTAATATCTACATTTCTACATTGTAGTTTATCAAGATGGATAGGAAATGCTAACTATTAGAGAAAATCACTAAATTCTTATGATAATGATATATAGTCGGAAAGAGAAAAATAGTTTTCATCAATGTATTTGCTTGTGAAAATTGATTTGATTTGCTACTACCAGTTGTCAATGTTCAAGTTGATAACATTTTATGCAGTGAAACGATTGACCAGCCTTTCGCATCTAGTGAATTAAAATAGTGAATGGTTATTTGGTGTGATACATTAAGTGTGAAATCTTAATAGTTTGACCGATTCATATAGTTTACAATAATTGCACAACATGAAATATGGAACTGTATATGCAAATTTTTTATGCCACCCCCTTGAATAAAATCCTGGCTACGCCACTAACTATTACTATGTACTCGCCTAATAATCGTTATATTATGAGACGGCGAGTCATGTAAAGTCACTTGTGATATAATATACAAGAAAACACTTGAATTTGTAAAATCATTCAAAATTTGGGTTCTTTAGAGTTTAGCGATTCAGGGTCGGGGTTTAGAATCTAGAATTTGGGGTTTAGGTTTAGGATAATATTTTTTTATAGGTTAGGGTATTGTATTGATTAGTCGTGATCCTACGTTGTGTAATCATATTAGACTGATGTTGCCAATTAAAATTCAAAATTCAATATCTTAAAACTAGTTTTAGAGTTGGGTGCACAGTATGCGCTCATTTTTGTGAGTGCATCTATATAATAGCCATTTTATAGGAGGTGGTATAAGTTTGTTTTTAGTTAGTTTCTACTTCAGAGATCCGGAACAGAAAACCTCCAAATTTAAGACCAGTGATATTATCGTTGGATCCCGTCTTGTTCGCTATATATGATAGGCAGATGTTAGAAACTAACAAGTCCATGAGATGTGAATGTTATTGCTAATCTACTCACTCTAATTTCTTCACAACTGACCCTTTCAACGTGATTTTTCTAGTGACCGAGAAGGTGATGGGAACTGAGTAGAATGATGCATGAAAAGATTTGCAGGATGGGAAGAGTGGACTCCGGAGGAGTTACGTGGAATGGTTGAGGGGAAGACAGCCCATTAAACTTCCACAACTGCTCCAATGCTTCCAATTAATGAACTCAACCCAAAAATTGTCAAACAAGGATTTAAATTGTTGAGATTATAATGGTCCAACTCCAAAAGCAAATGTCAAATTTAATCGTTAATATCACTCTACTTATTATTCAAGAGATGAACATTACACGAACACCACATATTAAAAACACGAATGTCACGTATTACAGTTTACACTACTATGTCGCAATCCCGAATTTATTCAAAATAAACTAACAAAAGCAAACCAAAGAAAGTCAAATGTCGTAACAAGGATGGAAAAGAATAGCTGGCCAACCCAAGAAGATTTGGCAGCACCACATGTGGGTATTAGGGTTAGTGACCACTTATCTAACTCTGCGGCGGCCACCTAACTCCACTTCCCCCTAATCTTGTAGTTGGATACTGTAACATTTGCATCCGGTCAACTTTCGAATAAGATGGCAAAATAATCTATCGTGAATATCTAATTGAATTTTCGATTTTGTTGGAGAAAATCCAATCAATATTGATTTTGGGTGAATTTTTTCTGAACGCGATAAAGAGGGTTAATTGATTTTGTGCGGTTTTGGTATTTTAAGTATCCGCACCAAACTTGCTCAAATATGTGTTATAACTATGTCCTCTCATTCAAAATACCATCTTGTTCATCCATATCACTAAAACATTATAACTATCTTTTGAATCTTAATTTTTTGTCATTTTTTCTCAGTTTTGCAAACAATATGACAGAGAAACTTCATTTTACATTAGCATTAAAACAAATCGTTTATATATTTGTGCATGATTGTTTGGGGATGATGCAGATTATCCCAAATTGCATGCTGATTGATTTTGGTATACATATAACATATTACGTCCCTCATAGTTTTGATAATGGGAATGGTTACGATTTTAAACATGTTTCGAAAATTATATACATGAAAACCAGTCCCACATTCACACTCGATGACTCGAACCCGTTACATCATTATTTTGGAGGCGTTCCATCAAATCCAATATATAATAGAAATGTTTATTGACTATTAACGCAACAAATTAATTTAACAATAGGAGAAATCAAACGAATGAAGTAGCTACTAGCCTACAACCAAAAAAACGAATGAAATAGAGCTAAAGACAGCTCTAGTCATCCCATCTCAACTCATAGATGAGTAATTATTCCAGCACGTCCAAACAAATGAACAATGGTGCGGCCAATGTGCTATTTGGGTGCCTCCAAAATGATACAACAACTCAACAAGAATTCCTATTCATGTTTGTGTCTTCCCTCGATGGGATTTGAAAGAGCAGACAAAAATACCTGTATGAAGTGATTTGATGTATATCTATCCGCTTCCCCCTTTCCAGGGAAGAAATAAATGAGTTAGGTCCAAGTTCACAGCTCCTGCTAACTGGGGCTGTGAACGATGGCAAAGAATAATACATCTCTCGTTTTCAGATTTGTATATTAAGTTACAACCAAAATGAGAGGCTGATCTCGGTTTCCGGTCTTCACCCGGTTAAAGCTCTGCGGAATTTAAGCAGCCAAAGCGCGAACTTCATCCCCAGAAGACGAGCTTCCAACCGCAGTTCGTCCAACCACACGTCGATCCAAGCTAGGATGTTAAATCTCCTCTGCGACTTCTTTGCATCGATAACTGCCTCTGACGAGATCTTTCCAACGATGAAAAATGTCTCCAGTGATGATTCCTGCAGCTGTAAGACCAGAGAGAGCCAATCAATCACATGACAGGAATGCCTGGTGGGGTGGTTGTCTAGTGGCCAAAGATAAGATGGAATAACATTATGTAGGGTAGTAAGGATTAGTTACCAAAGCATTATTGACAGCTCGTAAACAGTCATTTGTCTTCAGCATCAACAGAATAACACGGGGAAGCCTCCTCAGGAGCTCGGAGATTTGGGGGAAATACTGAGATGCGTACATCTGGACGAGGAGATGGAAAACCAGGCACAAAAATCAGGAAAACTATCCACCAAGCGGAATAACAATTTGAATAGGAGAAGCAGAGAGATTGGCAGGTCAAATTAACACATAAACCCCACCTGTAGTTCCGAGCGGTCACTGTCACTGCCCTTTATCACCAAATGATCAACAGCAGGGTCAATGACTCTGTTCCAAGGCCTCATGGTGAGGATACCAGCAAATAGTGGATATAGATCTTCTCCAGCTCCAAGTTTAACGCAATTTTCCTTTATGGCCTTTGCATCAGCAAATACTAGACCCTGTGGCAAGCCAAACCACAGAGCATCATAAGACCTCAATTTAGTCATTGACGAACGGAAAGACAGTTGCAACAAAAGAGAAAGCAGAAAATATACCTTCCAAAGCGAGGCATAGTTAAATCTAGTAGAGAAATCTAGTTCCTTGTATAGACCGTGGTCTAAGAGCACCAACTGTGGTTTTCTCTTGCCTACAATTCACACAGAAATTGGTTTCAATTCTAACTAACCACTATCTGCGCAATGTAGGGCATTTTTCTATATTCGTTGCATAAGAGTCAAATATGCTTTCAGTGTATCATATATAAAGAGCTTACCTAGAATCTTCCTTCCTCCAGAAGGAAAAGGGCGAATTATCAAGTTAGCAGCATGGGGATCACAGTGCACAAATCCATGCTTAAACATCATTTCAGCAAATGCTTGACTAACCTGCATGTTTAAAAAGCGAATTTCATAAGAGAATGATCATTTTATCAAGCAATGATAACATCTCTTGAAAAGGAAATATATGGGGAGAAAGACATGGCCTCCATCCTGGCGATTCACCAAAAAACAATGAACTGACAAATAATAGGGATAGCCAGGAGCAAGCAAAATTTCTATTCTGGTCAAACAATATGCACGACCTTCTGTATTCATCTTTAGACAAAATGGTAAGCTTATAGTGTGTGAAGTTAGCTTGACTTAAGAACAAACAATTTCCAGATGAAGGCAAGACCAATGAGCGGACAGTACAAGTGCGGGGTTATAACAATACATATTTATCTGCTTCTGCATTCCAAGACACTGTCTCAGTATGGCTTAAACAGGAGCATATGTATATGTAATATCAACATTTATATGTTAATGTATTTCAAGTGATTATCATAAAGCAGATACAATGAAAATCTTATATCACCGCAAACACTTACCAACGTTGAAACTTCCTTAGGTTTGAGACCAAGTTTATGAATCGTCTTGATATCGTTCACATGTGCACCGTCAATATATTCCATGGTCAGTAACTTCGAAGTGCTTAAGTTCCAATGAACCCTTGGTGCATAAACATAAGCTGCTATATGAGGAGATAGCTTCCAGAAATTTTCAATACATCTCTCGCTGTTCTTTGCTTCAACTAAGAAATCCAGTTCCTGTTCTTGAAATTTGAACCACTATCAATATTTATCCATAATAATAATAACACAAGGGAAACTAGTTAACCCTGAGCTCTTTACAATCTTCATTCAGTACAATGGTAATCACTTGCAGACTCAAAACCATGAAACGGGAAAGAAACAAGAGTACTTGCCTTGGGCAAACTCTCACTCATTTCATCAATCAACCATCTGCACTTTTAAGCCAAGGAAATTTCATTAACTTTATCTGTTAAGGACCAAATATACATGCACTCAAGACCTGGCAGAAACAGTATCTAAATAGCAATAATACACCAGGATAAACATCCCTTTATGCATAAGAGACATACACCAAAACTGTAAAAATTAAAGCAACTTTCCATGAGAGTTACTCAGATGAGTGCTCTACACGAATAACTACACCGGGTGAGTGTTTGACTAAGAAACTGAATATTGGATGTGGAAACAGAGGCAATCACCCAGGGTAAAGCTACCTGTAATCAAATGATGGGAAAACATAATGTAGGGCATTCACAATCATATCCACCGTGGCATGATCTGCAGCAGCTGTATCTGTCATGTGTGTGTGCTGCACCTGAAGAGCAAATCGATCTTAAAAGGACTTCATAGCGAATATAGTTGTTCCATGGAAATGTGCAAAATTGTAGAAGAAAAAGCAGCTTTAAGTATTTGACCAAGGTAGTACGAATTATAAACCTTCACAGCAACTTTTTGGCCATCAAACGTGCGAGCAACATGAACTTGTGCGAGAGAGGCACTAGCTATCGGTTCAGGATCAAACTCGCTAAATAACTGCACGTGAAAGGTTCTCAAGAATCAGATATTGAACAATGATCAGGTGGATTTGGTAAACACAAAAATATATGGAGATAATAGAGACCCGTATACTAGCACTAGAGCATTCAAAAGCCGTAAATTTTCACAAGATTGCAAAATACTTACTTTATCTGGTTCCTCCCCGAGCTCTTTCTTGACAACTTGGCGCACCTGATCATACGAAGACACTGGACATCTGTTCAACATCGACTCCCGCATTGTCTGAACATATTCTTGAGGTACTAGATATTCCTGCATAAGAATAAGTTAACTAGAACTTGCAATGGATTGATTGATTGATTGGTAGCTAGATGTGATTCATACAACTTGAGACAAAAACCTACATGAACACCAAATCCAACTTGTACAAATCCCAAGGAAGCAGAACAAAATCATACCAGTTGCCCGATGTGTTGACCTAGCTTAATGTATATGCCTCCATTTCTGAAACATAGTTCCCGTAGCTTACAAGCAGACCTAAGGTGAACTTCATGTTTAACTTTCGCTCTCTCATCGCTTCCTTCCGGCAATCCAAACAATGAGTACTCATAATCTACCAGCAGCAAACAAAAAGCAAGTATCAAAACCAAATCCAAAGCTCCTAACATCAAACCTGTAGGATCGTAATTGAACCAGCCAGGTCCATTGTGGAAGAATTCGAGAAACGAAAACAGAACTACCTCTCTCCAACTAAGCTCAGCTGAAGGAGATGTAATGAGAATTATGACAAAAAAAACACCATATGAAAGAGTTATCTACGAGCTCGAAAGTATTAAACCGACAATTTAGCAAGTACAGCATTCAGTATTCACCAAGAACAACAAGATTGTAACGAATGACACAAGAGGTATACCGAAAGCGATGGAGGCGGCAGTTACGGAGTCGCGGACAAGGCGAAGGGGGACAGTGGTGCAAACCTTGAGCGTGGTCGCTGGATCATCGGAAGTAGCAATTGCCGCAGCACCGCCGCCGGTGACAAGTGCGGTAGCTGCTACCCCGAGCTTTGCCTGGGCTCGCCACAAGAAACGGGCAGCCATGGGCGCAAACCGGCAAAAAGAAAAGAGAAGAAATTGTCTGGTAAAACGCACAGCTTGAAAAAGAAGAAATCAGCACGCACAGTTCCCAACGAGTATAAGAAGAGCCAAAACGGACCTAATGCATTTGGGCTGGATGTCAAGGCCCATCCAAAATTAGCCCAGTCAGAATCAGAAAGTTGATAGCCAAATTTCTCTAACATACCGTTTGGTATAAATGAATTCCATAAGTTTTGAGGAATTTGGAAATGAAACATTTTTGTGTTTGGTATTTAAAAGAATTTAATTTTAATTCTAAATTTTGAATTCTATGGAATTGGAACTAGTTATAACAATTCCGAGGAATTGAGATGGAATTTCCAAATAAATTCCACATAGCTACCCCATCCGGATCCCTCCTTTCTGTCAGTCTCGTGTCTTTTTGCTTCTCGGAACTTCAACATAGCTACCCACTTCGTGACAAAACATACTATTTTATCGGGTATCCGATTGCATACTGACTAGCGTTCTTTATTAGTGTCTATTTTGTAAATTGTAATTGTGTTATCCGGCCAGGGCTGGATAAAAAAAAATACAAATACAAATGACTAGTTTTGTTCGACAACACAAACCAACTAGCCAACTATGATAGCCATGAGATAGGTAAGGAGCTTAAATATACATTTGAATTATATTTTTTCCATTTTGTTTTGTTTTGTTTTGTTTTTTTTTTTTTTTTTGGAGGGGGGGATTCCATTCCATATTAGAATGAAATAATTAGATAGGAACCTAGCTAATATAGACCAGAATTATTACTTGGATAGTGTACTACTCATATAATTTCATTTATAATTGCAATTGATAGATGTAGTCGTCATAGTAGCTGATCAAACCAGGAAGCCAGGCCTCTGAAGCAATTATAAGAGCTCCTCCAATGAAGCTACCAAGCTCTGGCCAAACTGATGTCGACCCCAACCTCTACTATAAGTTGGCAGCACTCACAGCCTCATCATAACCATCCCACTTACGCCTACGTATCGATCTGTAAACCATGGCGGCGAAGTTCTCACTACTAGTAGCAGTAGCCTTCCTCCTCCTTCACTCCGCCATTCCAGCAACCGTCGTGGATTGTTTCCAGCACGACGAGCCAGGTGGGGATGGTGTCGAACACCACTACACGCCTCGCCACATGGCGCTGCTAGTCGATTTCGGTGATCATGATGAGCCATCGTCTTATCAATATATAGCAATGGAAACTGATGAAAATGATGCAGAGGATATTGATGAGTTGATTTCATCGGAGTTGGATTTGGAGGAGGGATGGACGTCCGGGCTAGCTTAGCTCACTGCAGATAATTTGCCTCTGTATATAAGCTATATTTCCCTGTAATTATCGTCATGTTATTGTAGATGTTCGATATAGATATTGGCCATTGGGCACATAGTTGTTTGCAACCAAACTCTATTCCATACTTTAATTTCTGAACACGTTTCTATGCCAAGAACCATTGCCTTAATGTGTGGGCTTAATTTACAGTCTCAATAGCGCCTGAGTGCCTTGTTCTAAAAGTCGAGAGAGCCGGACTTGGAGGAGGCACCAGAACAGTTTCCAGACGTGCCATATGAGCTCCCACTGGAACCATCAACCGGGGCTTGATTCAAGCATTCCAAAACCAAATACCGGCGCTTTTGCAGCTTTATCGACAACGTAGTTGCCTCCAGAACTGCAGGAACCTGATCGATCACAGCTCGGAATTAGGCGATAGTTGCTCGGTTTCTCAACTCACAAAAGTTGGTAAGAGTTCAAAGAGCCATAATGTTCTTACTTGAGTGTTGATGCGTGGCACTCTGTGTATGTTAAGAAAGCCAACGATGTCCTGGTAGCCCGTGAGAAGTTTGGCCAATTCTTTGTCTTCGTCTGGGGAAAGAAAAATCTTCAATACGTCATTCTCGTACCATTAGACTTTCAGAAATGAAAAAAAAAACACAGCATTAAGAGACAAACCTGGGATTGCTTTAACTGATACCAGACAGTCTGCTAGGTGCTGCCATCTTTTACAGAAGGTAGCTGATACAAGTGACGAAGGGAATGTAATTATAGCAACTGCATTTGCAGACCGCACAGTGCTCTTCAATGATCTGATAAAGGAAAGCATCTCCCATTCCTACAAGAATCCACATTTCTTTACCAGGGTTAACATTTGCTGGGAAAAAGAGCTAAAATGAAAGAGATTACGTAAGGTTAATTAGAGTGAGAAGCAATCTGAAATCAGAGTTAAAATGGGTACTGCTGCTCACCATGTTGGAACTTTCACATTGGGGTGCACATAACGACTGAATGGCAATACGACCAGTGCAAGCAACGGTTGCGTCATTTCTGAACGTGACAATTAGAAGATTGGTAAAGCAAACAAAGTCGATAGCAAAAAATGTACCTCAAGAGACATATAGAAGAGAATTATCATGCTTGTAAGCAGTAACAAACGTATGTGTTATGCGTGCAAGAACGTGCATCTTCCTTAGTCCATTCCGTGGAGATGGAAGCTTCTAGGATGTGAAGTTCCCAAATATGTGGCCCGTAGTAAAGGAATCTCTCAAAATGTTGTCAGGATATTCACAGATATACCTGGAAAACTGTGACAAAAATGAAGTGCAGCGCTCCTGAAGAGCAGCAATATTTGGTAGATCTTTGGTGCTAATACAGTCTACATGCTGCCCTGTGTAAAAATGTCTATCCAATGGCCTCCGCAAGTCAAACTCATTCGAGAATTCTTGTTTGTTATCTGCACTAAGTGAACTTAAGATTATCAGACAACCATGTTCCACAGCGAACACAAACACATAGAACGATAAAGCGAAACAAAATCATGCCTCTTTGACCATCGAGGTTTGACTGATTTTCACCAAAGTACTTCTTGTATTGCCAAGCAATTCTCAAACCCTTCTCCTGCATTACCAATTCCCAAGTGAACAGCATAGACTAAGTTGAGATAATGGCAAGCAGAACGTAGAGATCAGTCGCAGCGTAAGACCTGTTCTGCATCATGACTGCGGGATTTATCATCTTTGGGGGACGAAGGACTGGGCAAAGTACCCAAAAACCCTCTTGGGTCTTTGGATGGACTAGCATAAAGAAGAGGCTGCTTATGGACAAGTCCCTGAGACATGAAGTTCCTCAGTAAGAGCATGTGATGAGGTGCTTCTGAATCTTCCATCACCATGACCAAACTCCCCAAAGGAATCCCACCACCTAGGGTCTCTACATTGTGGAAATGAAATCACTAGTAATCAGTTTTAGTTTAAATGAATTCAATTCTCGTGGAAAATACCGGGAATTTGGCAGATAATATTACTGTCGAGGTCAGGAATTCCAGAGGAGACCAAAAATGTGCCATTAGGACCGCACTTGATTTCAGGGCTCTGGGCAGAAGATGCAGCCGGCAGGTTGCGAGAGAAGCTGCTTGTCCGAGTCTTCGTAGCAGCCATTGCTGCTCCTCAAAGTTACACCCTCTAAGCCAAACAGAAACAATTTACTAATTAACGACGGCTCATAGAAGCTTTTCGTCGAACACCTAGTGTGCATCTTATGAATTAAGCAGATAGTCAATATCAATGGATGTCGATTCAAGCTTTCGAACTAACCTGCTGGCTTACTTGGTAGACTTTACTGAAGATAGAAGCTTGCGAGCGAAGCCAGGACGGAGGACGAACAGTTTCAAGTTTACTACCAGACGGCGGCACCCGGAACAAGCTTGACAAACCAACGAACGTCCTTCCAAGAACTGTCACTTTCCGCTTCCTTTGCTTTCTCAACAACCGATCACTGATCACAGACTACGACAGGGAAAGAAAGCCGTCAACGGCTGTCTTCTCCTTTTCCCGGTTCCAGGCTCGAAGCAACGAATTTCTATTCTCCAACCGCCTAATTCACGGTGAATGGGAAGAGAGAAGTTCGTCTCGGCTCCGCCTTCAATCTCGCCGCCGCGAACTAGCATTTGGGCCCACCCTAACTAAATGGGCCTCAACTTTCGTGTGTAGCATTGCTGTTCGAAGCCCGATATCAACATCTTCGTATCTCAGCTCTCTAGTCGGCCCAAACCCAAATTCCGACAAGTTTGCCTAACCTTTTTTTTTTTTTTACAAAAAATATTTGGCCAATCCAAACGAAAGGGTGTGCTGTGCATATCAATTTCACCAAGATAGAGTTCCCACTTCACAGCGACTCCACTCAAACAAGGTTTTTGTAAATTCTAATATTTTTTAGTATCGCTATACTATTAACAAATCACTAAAAAAATTCCAGATTTTATCATGCTAGTCAATGTGATTTTCGATAGTACTCAACTGAAAATTCTAGCTAGCTTTCATTTCTTGCAACTAATTTTTTCGAATGATCATTTTCCTTTATAGATAGATAAGACATGTGTAAATCCAAAGTGACAATAAAACAATACAAGGATTATTAGTTCAATATTAACGTGACAATACAAAATTGAATGGCGCAACGTCTTAAGAAGTGGGTTAATCACTCTAGCATTGCAAGACAAAATGCTTCTTTCATTAAAGTGTAAAATGGACTATAAACTTTTTGGTATTATGCTTAGCGAATCTGTATCCATGCATTGGTATGCAATGTAGTGTCCATCTTTCTACATCCACCTGTATTCTGATATGCAACCTAACTTTTAATCCTTTAATATTTGAACAAAAGATGTTTGCTTTAATCAAATCCGTTCCAAAGTGTTACGAGGACAAGAGAGCAAAAAAAAAAAAAGGTTCCAGGGAGACAAGGAACCAACTATGATTCCATTTTACAGCGCAGATTCAGTAGATATAGGCTGTCTATTCTTAGTTGTCAACTAATTCCCCATTTTTAAAAAATATATATATAACAGTAATAGGGCAGGCAGTTAGTCTAAAATGGGATCACCATTGGAAAAGCAATAATAACATTGGTCGATCAAGTTGGAGTGTTGAGTAGTAGTGGGGAAGTGGTGTCATTTCTGCTTCGTTGTCAAAGCTAGGGGTGAACAAATACACCTGCAAACCGACCCACCCGTCCAACCCGACCCAAC